GCAAATTACAAGACGGTCATCGTTTATATACCACGCAACAGCATGCAGGTTCAGCAGGCGTTGCTGTTCTATTGCATGCTCATCATGTGCAACATGTCAAAAGAGTTTCGGCCATTGGCAACCGTATTATACATGTTGATGTCAACGTCGATGGTATCCACCGATTCATTGCTTGTTATATGCCACATGCCGGGTACCCGTATGCTGATCTTTGCGATGTATATGAACAGTTGCGACTTATCCTTGCCGAAGCACGTCAAATGGGTTACAAAGTTGTTCTTGGTGGGGACTTCAACACACAGCAACATGTGGGAGTGCGAGGTGACTTGTTTGCAGACTTGATAAATGAATTTTCGTTGGTGCTCGCGAATCGCGCGCAGCACGATGATTCATGGACGTTTTGTAGTTCCAGTGGGGTGAAACGCCAAATTGATTTCATTATGCACAGCTCCAATATCAATTCTTCAGACGCGGCGCCTACGACAAGTCTTGACATGGGTTCCGATCATAGAGCCGTACGCTGCAGAGTTCAAGTGCCACCGATCACACGCAGACCAAGCAGAAAGCCATGTGGATTACGAGGCTGGCTCCCGGACAATCCGAGTTCTTATCATGCAATTCTTCGAGATAAACTTCAACAAAAGCAGCCAGACAATATTATCGATTTGGAAGATGTGGTTGTCGCATCCGCAATGGAAGTCAATGCCCCTTCCTGTCGTGCTTCTGACCTCGAAGAGCCATGGACGAATGATAATTTTCAGCTTCTTCTCCGACGTCGTCGTGATTGCAAAACTGTTGCTGAACGCGCACGTCTTTCCAAACAAATTCGGAAGGTCCTTCGAGCGCACCAGCGACGCAAATTGAATGACAAGATGACGAACATTTTATCGTCGGGTCGTGATTTTAAGAGATTGGAATCACTTCTTCGTACTCCCGAACACTCTCAGCAACATCACCCTGAAGAAGTACCATCAACGGAGGATTTTACCTCGTATCTTCGTGGTATATTCTCTACCGACAGTGCCTGGGAGCAGACCTCGCACTCTTCATTTGCGGATATCTTGCCATTTTCTTTGGAGGAGTTGCAGGCCGTTCTGAAGCGCATGAAAAATCAGCGAGGGGCTGATGACGGTGGTCTTGTCGTTGAGATGTTCAAATTTGGTGGCCGAGATCTTCACCAATGCTTACTTCAAATTTTCAACAACATGTTGGCCAGTGGCAGATTGGAATCTTCGTGGCAACATTCCCTTTTCAAAATGTTGCCGAAACCCGGTGATTCGTCTATGGTAACAAATTGGAGACCAATCGCAGTTCCCAAAATCACCTACAAGATCTTTTCGAAGCTCGTACATACGAGAATCCAAGATCTACTGGAGCGTGAACAGAGTTGGGATCAAATGGGTTTCCGGTCATTATTTGGAGTGGATCACGCGCTTGCTGTTCTTGACACGGTTTTGTCCAAAGCTGTGGAGTGGAATTTCGACGTTTGGTGCGCCAGTCTGGATTTGAAGAAGGCCTTTGACCGCATCGAGTTCAAACCACTTTTCGAAGCATTGCGATGTCAGGGTTTGCCCGACTGCTACATCAGCTTATTGCAAACATTGTACCGCTCACAATCTGGATCAGTGAAAAAGGGTTCCCCATTTGAAGTCCAACGCGGGGTGAAACAGGGAGATGTTATGTCGCCCGCTTTGTTCAACGCTGGCTTGGAGCACGCTTTCCGACAGTGGAAACAACGACTGATGGAGCATGGTCTTGACGTTGGAGCAGTCGAACGACTCACAAACATCCGATACGCTGATGACATCATGATTTACGCAAAATCTTGGCAGGAGCTTGTATATATGATCGAATGCCTCGTACAAGAACTTGGAAAGATCGGTTTGCATTTGAATGCATCAAAAAGCCGAATTATTACTACAGCCCACATAGACGGACCCATGTACATCAATGTTAGCGACGACATGGTCGAGGTATTGACTGCAGGCGACGTTCACAAATACTTGGGACGACATATCAGTGCAGATCCTCGATGCCGCAGTCAGACAGAACTCAAACATAGGTTCCAAGTGGGATGGGCAAAGTTTCGCAAACACCGTCATATTCTTACAAACAAACATGTGTCCATCGCATTGAGATTGAAATTTTTCGATACAGTATTGACTCCAACCGTTCTGTTTGGATTACACGTATTGCCGTTGACTCTGTCACAAATTCATACACTGGATGCATTGCAACGACGAATGCTTCGCTCTGTGGTTGGCTGGGTGCGAGTTGCAAACGAAGATTGGCACAGCACTATGAGTCGGATGAAACACAGACTGACTGCAGCGTTACACATACACCCTGTGGACACCTGGTCTCGCCAGCTTGCACGACGTCAGTACAACTTCGCTTTCCAAATGTTGCGAATTCCCAATTGGGCCGCGGCTGTTGTCAAATGGTGTCCAGAAAGCAACTGGCAAACAAATTTTGCTTTACAACTACATCGTCGACCCGGTCGCCCGCTAACGAAGTGGGATGATCGACTCCGCAGTTTTGCAGCCTGTAATTTTCCAGCGGTGAATACGTGGACTGATATTGCTGAAACAGCAAATTGGCCGCCCGCTGCAAGCCAGTACGTACAAAGCTTTAAGAATGTATAGACCGAATCGTGCCAACACTCAAGCACGCCCCCATTCCCCATGTCCTTATAGGACCGTGGTCCACTAGCAGCAGGAACAGTCTGACGCTTGTAATGTTTCACGTGGACCCGAACGGGCGAAAGCGAAAGCGAAAAAAGCGGCAGGGCACGACTTCGCACACCACGGTGGCGAGCGGAGTGCCCATCCGCGAAGTCGTGATGTCCACAGCGGGCAAGGCCCCAAAATCTAACATCATGATGAGCATTTGAACTGTCGCCATGAACAACAGGATGCAAACATGGTCGCAGTTGCTATTGCAGATAAGGAGTTAAGTTCTCAACGGCTTGCAGCTCTGAAACATTGCATGGAACCGATCAACCAAGATCGCCCGTACATGGTCCACCCAACGTGTAACTATCCTTGCTGGGCACCCAGTACGCACCCCCCAGTCATGGGGATGGGGGGCGCCCACACACGCCAACTCATGTGCAAGGGAAGACACCCATGATTGCGGATGCTGGTTAGCAGCGTAAGCAAGATGACCTGCAAAACACCCACGCGGCAGACTGAGAAGTCGAGCCCGCAAGCACAAATTCCAGTCCGAAACAGATGGATGGATGAACATACGTTTGAAGTAGGCGCTCCACAAACGAAAGCAGGAGGTTCGCGGAGACCGTCCAGAACAAACACGCTGCCATTTTGCGTTCACCCCGTCCAAGTAAGTGATTAACATGATTTTTCCAAGATAGGCGCTCATTGAGAGACACCCCTAAGTAAGTGTACTGCTTCACTCGGGGCAACGCTTGTTCACCTAGAAAAAATGTTGGCGCGCGACCTCGACCATGACGGCGGCCAAAAATCATTATGGCAGACTTGGTTGGCCCGATTCCAAACTGGAACCTCCAAAAACGAGCCGAAGCATGAGCGGCGTCGATCGCACGATGCAGGTCTTGAGGGTTGTCGCAAGTGTCTGCATCAAACAACATGCAACTATGTAACAATGTTAATTTGAATCACATCGTGTCATATCTCGCATGCCTGTGCGGCTGGGCAAACTGCTGCTACATGCTGCACAATGCACACAATCTGTCTCGCTCCCGAGGTTGTGCGAACTCGGGGGGACGGTTTGCCACGCTGTTGTGGGCAAGTCGATGCGCTGGGGGTCCATTTCGTAGTTTGTCCGCGTACCGGTCTTTTCGCGCGACGAGGCTTCGTGCAGGTCACACGCGAGGCGGTCGGCCCGGAAGGGCACTTTGCACTTTGCACTTTGCGCTTTGCCCGTTCGAGTCACGAAGACTACGGTCCTTTCAGGACAAGGGACAACGGTGGGACGGTGGGTGTTCCGAGCTACTTAATGTGCGAGGCCGTGCCAAACTGTACCAAAGTCATGTCTTGTTGCCGGCCATCTTGGCAGATGAGCTACATCAGACCACGAATTACATCCAGGGAGCTGCAACATTACAAACTTGTTCAACCTTGAGGTGGGCGGGAGAATGGACACAGAGACCGTCACCTTCTTGCGCCAACTCGCCGCGGCGCGGGCACGCAAGGCACCCGCGCGTCTGAGGCCTGCCGCATGCTGGGCCAGCATCCACAGATGGACTGGCATGCTGGCGGTGGCGGCCCAGCGTGCGTATGTTCAACTCATCATCCCATCTGGGGGGGGGGGGGGCGCACTATTGAAATTGTACTGGGATGAGGGATTCCAGGTTGCAGCGCGTGGTGGCCAAGCATTCTTCGCAGTCAGGTTCATTACGCACCTGTGCTGGTTAGCCCACAAGACATGATTTTGTACAGTTTGGCACGGCCTCGCACATTAATTAGCTCGTAACACCCACCGTTGTCCCTTGTCCTGAAAGGACCGTAGTCTTCGTGACTCGAACGGGCAAAGTGCAAAGTGCAAAGTACTGGTTAGCACGATGAGCACTGGACCATGAAGGCGCAGAATGTTGCCTGACAGCAGGCGATACCCGAGCATTCATGCGTCGCATCGTCTTTTCCCAAGTTGCATTTGCGTCGCGATTCCATCCAACAAATTTCGTAACATCTAACGTCGGCATATATCAAGCATTATCAAGCTGTTCCAGCTATCGTAGGAGTGACCACGGACGGCGCTGCCCGGAAGGGCATTGGGTGGATTTGGGTGCCGCAGCAGTGGGTTGCCGATACCACCGCTGTGGGGGTGGGGGTGCGGCCGGATGACCGACAGCGCCTTGACATGCCTTGACCTCGTCGTCTATTTCTGGCGCAACCCAGCGCGGCGAGATCCTTTTTCATGATGCAACGCTCGTTTCCCCGCTCGGGCGGGATGGCAGACCCACCTGCGGCGCCGGTGACCGCTTGGAGGCCGCAGCGCCTACGTCGGAGGGCGATGGAATGACGAGTTGGGGGCCGGTGGGGTGCCGAGGCTGCTTCATGTCATTTGTGAGACAGCTCGCGCGATGCCCAGCTCCTGCGGCGAGCCAGTCTGCTTTCCATGCAGAGCGCGCAGCACAGCTACAGACAACGCACTCCACCACCGGCGTGCCCAGCCTTGGTCGCAGGATCGGCGCAAGACTCGTCATTTTTTCCTCGCATCTTTTTCAGCTGTCCTCGCAGTGCCAACCACTTGTGGGCGCGCAGTCTGCAGCGGGGCGACCGCTGCGCGGGTGTGGTGGTCAAAGCATGCGGCTGGCGATTGGGGGGGCCTCGGAGGAATCGGCGAGGAGGTCGCTGAGCAAATGGGCCTCTGCGTCGACGTTGGCGGAGCCGGGCCATGCCCCCTCCCTTCCAGAGCAGGTCCCAAGCGACTCCTTTTTGCCGTAGGTCGTATACTTCCGGTCCGTAGGCGTTCGAGACAGCGAAACCGGCAGAAAATGGAGCTTTCGCTTTCGCTTTCGCTTTCGCCCGTTCGGGTCCACGTGAAACATTACAAGCGTCAGACTGTTCCTGCTGCTAGTGGACCACGGACCTATAAGGACATGGGGAATGGGGGCGTGCTTGAGTGTTGGCACGATTCGGTCTATACATTCTTAAAGCTTTGTACGTACTGGCTTGCAGCGGGCGGCCAATTTGCTGTTTCAGCAATATCAGTCCACGTATTCACCGCTGGAAAATTACAGGCTGCAAAACTGCGGAGTCGATCATCCCACTTCGTTAGCGGGCGACCGGGTCGACGATGTAGTTGTAAAGCAAAATTTGTTTGCCAGTTGCTTTCTGGGAGCGCGCAAACAAATAAAAGGAACGGATATCCTGAGAGGGTGAGAGAGTGCGCGAGTGAGCGAGCAAGTGCTTGAGTGTGAGCCGGCGCCGACTTGACCTCGTCATTTATGGCGCGTCTCGGCGCGGCGAGGCACTCTGCTGCGATGTGACCCTGGTTTCGCCGCTGCGCGCAGACGGACACCCGCAGACCGGCTCCTCAGATCGGGATGGGGCTGCCATCGACGTCGCGAGGCGGCGCAAACAACGGCGCTACCCCGAACTAGCCGGTCCGGGCCCGCAACGCCTCGTCGTCCTGGCTGCGGAGGTCGGCGGACGATGGGGGCAAGAGGCGCACGACCTCGTCCGCGACCTCGCGCAACAGCGCTCCCTGCGCGCGCCGAGGGCGCTGCGAGCTGCTGCCCGCTCCGGGTGGGAACGCCGGTGGTGGGGGCAGCTGGGTTGCGCGTTGCAGCGCGCCTTGGCCTCGACGCTGTTGGGCGGTTGCTGGCGCGCGCCGGCGCAGCCAACCGGAGACGAGGGCACGCCGCTGGGTTGGGTCCTGGAGCTCGCCGAGGCTGAGCAGCCGTCCAGGTTGCCCTTGCGTGCTTGACACACTGCGGCCCGAGCAGCCTGCCGACGCGGCATCCCTTTTGGCGAATGCTGATGCGCGCGCCGCCGTGCTGCAAGCCCTCGCGATGTCCCGGCTCACCGCCCTTTCCAAGCCCGGCGGCGGCGTGCGCGGGATCGCGACTGGAGACACGCTATGCCGACTGGTGTTTTCCGAGCGTTGGCGCGACAGTATGCTGACACGTTCGACCGCGCCACGCGGCTCTTCCAGTTCGCGCTTCAGGCCCGTGCGGGGACGGATTGCTTGGCAGCGATGCTGCGCGCGGCGAGCGAGTTGGATGCCGACGCCACCATCGTCTCGCTCGACGGAAGGAGCGCCTATGACACGGTCTCACGTGCCGCCTTCCTGAAAAAGCTGCGCGAGGTCGCTCCAGCCCTCGTCCCATATGTGCGGGCGTGGTACGGCGGCACCTCCACGTACCTGTGGTGGGACGCCGAGGGCCGGCGCCACGAGATCTCGCAAGGTGACGGCTGCGAGCAGGGAGATGCGTTAGCGCCGGCTCTGTACTCCCTGGCGCAACACGATGCCCTAGCTGCGGCGCAAGGGCGATTGCAGCCGGGGGAGTTCCTTGCCGCTTTTCTGGACGACTTGTACCTCGTCACCACTCCAGCTCGCGCCCGGTCAGCGCTAGATGATGTCACGCGCACGGTCGAGCGGCAGGCTGGTGTCGCAGCTAATCTCGGGAAGACTCGGGTCTATCGCGCAAGTGGCGGGCCGCCCCCGCCCGATATCGCAGTGCTCGGACCCGAAGTCTGGTGCGGAGGTGACAGTGAACCGGCAACTTGCGGCTTTGTTGCATTGGGCGTGCCGATCGGGCATACGGAGTTCGTGCGACGCACTCTCGCGGCAAGGCTTGAGGAAGAGCGCCGCTTGCTGCACGAACTGCCGGAATTGCCTGATATGCAGAGCGCATGGCTGCTCCTGCTCTACTGTGCCAGCCCGCGTGCCCAACATGCTCTGCGCACGGTGCCGCCGCTGGACTCGGCCACCTATGCGGCAGAACACGATCGGGCGATTTGGGCAACGCTCCACCACCTTCTAGCGGAGCAGGATGCGAGCGGGCGGGAGTGGACCGCAGCGCGCCAAATCGCCTTCCTCCCTGCCGCATGTGGTGGCCTCGGTCTCGCGAGCGCGGAGCGACTAGCCCCAGCGGCCTACTGGGCGGCTTGGGCGGACGCGCTCCCGGTGATGCTGCAAAGACGCCCGGAGGTTGCCCGCCGATATGCGCAAGAACTCGCTCTTGGCGGCGGGTCGACTGCGCCGTGCCTGCGGGCAGCTGCGGAAGCGGGTGACCGGCTGCTCGCCGAAGGGAGAGCGCGCCCGGAGTGGGATGCCTTGCTCCACGGGGCGCGGCCGCCGCCTACACACGCTGAGCCTTCAGAGCCTGGAAGTTGGCCACATGGCTGGCAGAAACCGGCAGCTTGCGTACTCAACAAATCCTACCGCGAGCGCCTCCTCTGCAGCTTGCCGCCAAGTTCCCGAGCACTGCTGCGCTCCCAGGCGGGCGCGCATGCCGGCGAGTGGTTGCGAGCCATCCCCACGGACGAGGATGGACGAGGGCACGCAGCTTCTGCCGCTGGACATGCAAGTCGCTCTCCGGCGACGCCTTCGCTTGCCGCTACCCATGGCATCTTCCCGTTGCGGAGGACATGGCGAGCCAGGGTGCCGAGCCGTGGTGGACCAGCTGGGCGACCATCGCGCCGCCTGCGCCCGGAGTGGGCTGCTGGCCCGGCGCGCTCCCATACTCGAGCGAGCGTGGGTCCGAGTAGCGCGGGAGGCCGTCGCCGCCGAAGGGCGGGTGGTCCCCCAACAATGGCTAGCGCGGACCACCGCAGCGGGCGTAGCCCCAGATGACCGGCGCCGACTTGACCTCGTCATTTATGGCGCGTCTCGGCGCGGCGAGGCACTCTGCTGCGATGTGACCCTGGTTTCGCCGCTGCGCGCAGACGGACACCCGCAGACCGGCTCCTCAGATCGGGATGGGGCTGCCATCGACGTCGCGAGGCGGCGCAAACAACGGCGCTACCCCGAACTAGCCGGTCCGGGCCCGCAACGCCTCGTCGTCCTGGCTGCGGAGGTCGGCGGACGATGGGGGCAAGAGGCGCACGACCTCGTCCGCGACCTCGCGCAACAGCGCTCCCTGCGCGCGCCGAGGGCGCTGCGAGCTGCTGCTGCCCGCTCCGGGTGGGAACGCCGGTGGTGGGGGCAGCTGGGTTGCGCGTTGCAGCGCGCCTTGGCCTCGACGCTGTTGGGCGGTTGCCGGCGCGCGCCGGCGCAGCCAACCGGAGACGAGGGCACGCCGCTGGGTTGGGTCCTGGAGCTCGCCGAGGCTGAGCAGCCGTCCAGGTTGCCCTTGCGTGCTTGACACACTGCGGCCCGAGCAGCCTGCCGACGCGGCATCCCTTTTGGCGAATGCTGATGCGCGCGCCGCCGTGCTGCAAGCCCTCGCGATGTCCCGGCTCACCGCCCTTTCCAAGCCCGGCGGCGGCGTGCGCGGGATCGCGACTGGAGACACGCTATGCCGACTGGTGTTTTCCGAGCGTTGGCGCGACAGTATGCTGACACGTTCGACCGCGCCACGCGGCTCTTCCAGTTCGCGCTTCAGGCCCGTGCGGGGACGGATTGCTTGGCAGCGATGCTGCGCGCGGCGAGCGAGTTGGATGCCGACGCCACCATCGTCTCGCTCGACGGAAGGAGCGCCTATGACACGGTCTCACGTGCCGCCTTCCTGAAAAAGCTGCGCGAGGTCGCTCCAGCCCTCGTCCCATATGTGCGGGCGTGGTACGGCGGCACCTCCACGTACCTGTGGTGGGACGCCGAGGGCCGGCGCCACGAGATCTCGCAAGGTGACGGCTGCGAGCAGGGAGATGCGTTAGCGCCGGCTCTGTACTCCCTGGCGCAACACGATGCCCTAGCTGCGGCGCAAGGGCGATTGCAGCCGGGGGAGTTCCTTGCCGCTTTTCTGGACGACTTGTACCTCGTCACCACTCCAGCTCGCGCCCGGTCAGCGCTAGATGATGTCACGCGCACGGTCGAGCGGCAGGCTGGTGTCGCAGCTAATCTCGGGAAGACTCGGGTCTATCGCGCAAGTGGCGGGCCGCCCCCGCCCGATATCGCAGTGCTCGGACCCGAAGTCTGGTGCGGAGGTGACAGTGAACCGGCAACTTGCGGCTTTGTTGCATTGGGCGTGCCGATCGGGCATACGGAGTTCGTGCGACGCACTCTCGCGGCAAGGCTTGAGGAAGAGCGCCGCTTGCTGCACGAACTGCCGGAATTGCCTGATATGCAGAGCGCATGGCTGCTCCTGCTCTACTGTGCCAGCCCGCGTGCCCAACATGCTCTGCGCACGGTGCCGCCGCTGGACTCGGCCACCTATGCGGCAGAACACGATCGGGCGATTTGGGCAACGCTCCACCACCTTCTAGCGGAGCAGGATGCGAGCGGGCGGGAGTGGACCGCAGCGCGCCAAATCGCCTTCCTCCCTGCCGCATGTGGTGGCCTCGGTCTCGCGAGCGCGGAGCGACTAGCCCCAGCGGCCTACTGGGCGGCTTGGGCGGACGCGCTCCCGGTGATGCTGCAAAGACGCCCGGAGGTTGCCCGCCGATATGCGCAAGAACTCGCTCTTGGCGGCGGGTCGACTGCGCCGTGCCTGCGGGCAGCTGCGGAAGCGGGTGACCGGCTGCTCGCCGAAGGGAGAGCGCGCCCGGAGTGGGATGCCTTGCTCCACGGGGCGCGGCCGCCGCCTACACACGCTGAGCCTTCAGAGCCTGGAAGTTGGCCACATGGCTGGCAGAAACCGGCAGCTTGCGTACTCAACAAATCCTACCGCGAGCGCCTCCTCTGCAGCTTGCCGCCAAGTTCCCGAGCACTGCTGCGCTCCCAGGCGGGCGCGCATGCCGGCGAGTGGTTGCGAGCCATCCCCACGGACGAGGATGGACGAGGGCACGCAGCTTCTGCCGCTGGACATGCAAGTCGCTCTCCGGCGACGCCTTCGCTTGCCGCTACCCATGGCATCTTCCCGTTGCGGAGGACATGGCGAGCCAGGGTGCCGAGCCGTGGTGGACCAGCTGGGCGACCATCGCGCCGCCTGCGCCCGGAGTGGGCTGCTGGCCCGGCGCGCTCCCATACTCGAGCGAGCGTGGGTCCGAGTAGCGCGGGAGGCCGTCGCCGCCGAAGGGCGGGTGGTCCCCCAACAATGGCTAGCGCGGACCACCGCAGCGGGCGTAGCCCCAGATGACCGGCGCCGACTTGACCTCGTCATTTATGGCGCGTCTCGGCGCGGCGAGGCACTCTGCTGCGATGTGACCCTGGTTTCGCCGCTGCGCGCAGACGGACACCCGCAGACCGGCTCCTCAGATCGGGATGGGGCTGCCATCGACGTCGCGAGGCGGCGCAAACAACGGCGCTACCCCGAACTAGCCGGTCCGGGCCCGCAACGCCTCGTCGTCCTGGCTGCGGAGGTCGGCGGACGATGGGGGCAAGAGGCGCACGACCTCGTCCGCGACCTCGCGCAACAGCGCTCCCTGCGCGCGCCGAGGGCGCTGCGAGCTGCTGCTGCCCGCTCCGGGTGGGAACGCCGGTGGTGGGGGCAGCTGGGTTGCGCGTTGCAGCGCGCCTTGGCCTCGACGCTGTTGGGCGGTTGCCGGCGCGCGCCGGCGCAGCCAACCGGAGACGAGGGCACGCCGCTTGGTTGGGTCCTGGAGCTCGCCGAGGCTGAGCAGCCGTCCAGGTTGCCCTTGCGTGCTTGACACACTGCGGCCCGAGCAGCCTGCCGATTCCGTGCACAGGGATCGTGAACACTGACGCGAGGGAAAAAAAAATGTGAGTGAATGCGCATGAGTGAGTGATTGCGTGAATGTGAGTGAGCGCGAGAGTGGGTGTGAGCCGCGCGCGGCACCGGTCCAGGGCCCCTAAACGCATGTGTCGCGCCTGCCAACGTTTCACGCACCGAGGCGCGCGCGGGACTGCGCCTGCACGCACAAACGACACATGACATATGTGTCGCGCCTGCCAACGTTTCGCGCGTCGCCGAGGCGCGCGCGACACCGGTCCAGGGCCCCTAAATTCTGCGCCTGCCAACACAAACGGGCGCATGCCCTGGGGCGCGGCACCGGTCCAGTGCCCCTAAATGCTGCGGTTGCCAGCACAAACGCCACCTGTGTCGCGTAGCGTGGTAAGACGGGGTATGGCGCGTTGGTGCATGGCGTGGTAATAAAATGGTGTGTAATGCGGCGTGGTGTTGGTGCTGGTGCGCGTGCGCGTGCGCGTGCGCGTGCGCGTGCGCGCGCGTGGGTGCATGCGTGCGTGCGTGGGTGGGTGGGTGGGGTGGGTGGGTGTGGGTGTGTGTGTGTGTGTGTGTGTGTGTGTGTGTGTGTGTGTGTGTGTGTGTGTGTGTGTGTGTGAGTCATCGTGTGCGTATGTGTGTGTGTGTGTGTGACACACCATTGGTGCATAGCATGGTAAGATGGTGTTTGGTGCGTTGCTGAGTCATGGCGTGTGGTGTCATAGCGTGGTAAGATGGTGTGTCATGGTGTGTGTGTGTGTGTGTCACACACCATTGGTGCATAGCGTAGTAAGATGGTGTGATATGGTGTGTGGTGCGTTGGTGAGTCATGGTGTGTGGTGTCATAGCGTGGTAAGATGGTGTGTGGTGCATTGGTGGGTCATGGTGTGTGGCGCGTAGCGTGCTAAGATGGTGCGTGGTGCGTCGGTCAGTCAATAAGGAAATGAACCGATCGGAAGAAAGCCATTGAGCACGTTAAAACGATGGAACGCCACATGTAGTGACAGACGTCAGGATTGTTGCGATTCGTTTCAGGGGGTTTGCGTTTCCCGTAAAAAAGTAAGTAATCGAACCGAATGATTTGTTTCCTTGTGTGTCTTCATGCGTTTCGATTCGGTTCGTGTCGCGGTTCCTTCCGCAAAAGTACCCTGTTTCAGCGTTGGCTAGGAAACCAAAAAAGGTACGTTTTCGGTGCGGGCCTTCCCCAAGAAACCCCCTTATTCGGGTTTTGGGGGCAGGAAGGCACCAAACGAGGTATGTTTTCGGTGCACGCCTGCCGGCTTCCCCCAAGGAGGCATTCGATTCGTTTGTTTATTCGCCGGCCATACGTTTCGATTCGTTTCGCTCGCGCATTTTTGCGGTTCTTGCGTTTTGTTTCCATACCATTCGTTTCCCTATTCCCCTTTCGATTCGTGGCTTTCCTGAACATTTGCAACAAAGGCAAGGGGGCGGGGACACCGCGACATACTTGTACCCCCGCTGCCGAAACGTGAGTATATATGCACGCGTTTGGTGATCATGAGTTGCGTGTGCCAGGCGAACAAAGTCTCCAAGGTGGACGTGCTGAAGAAAAAGAAGAAAAAGGATATGTTCGAAACTCAGCCCCGAGTTGTCGCAACACGTCAATGCAGACAGGCCAGGGGGCAAGATAGCAACACCCCCAAACAACAAAATGCAAAAAGAAAGGCGCTCTTCTCCCAACGAGTCTTTTTGCGACTGGCGGTCTTCCGCGATTTATGGTTATTCTTGTGTGGGTTGGTTTGTGCGCCGCCCAGTGCCGTGCTCGTATGCTCACATGACGTCGGCCTTCCGTACACACGATTTTAGGATTGGCAGGATTCATCATGATTCCCAAAGTGCTTTCACATTTGTTTTCATTTTCTGTCAAGGTCTTCTGGGCAGGTTGCAGCGGCTGCGAACACGTTCATCAAAAAATGCGAGCAGAAAACGGAGGCTGGTGACTTGCGAAAAGATGTTGGGTGCAAGTGTGACTTGTGGCTTTCAGGCTAACGTCGCCGCAAAAGCACAGGTTGAGGGCAATGCCAGTCTGGATTTTGCCGACGGCTTGGCTTAATGTGATAGGGTTGCGCTGTGCCATGACTCACACGAGAAGTTTGCCTTGCAACACCCGTAGGTGAAAGTGACACCGCAGCAGATTGCAAAGGTGCCGCACCTTCACAATTGTGTTTGCAGCAATGACAGTAGACAAAACATGGCAGGCAGAGAAGAAAATTGGCGCTCGGCAGAATAAGAAGCAGAAGTAAGGCTCTGAACCATCGTCAGCACAATCGTCTGTTTCACTTGCGAGAAAAAAGGCTCGCGCATGCTCTAGCGCCTGGGAGGTTTGCATGATTGGATACGTTGCTGGGGTTCAGAATGGTTCAGGTCGATCGGTTGCAACCAGGGCGCACAGTGAAACAGGTCAAAGATGGGCTTCTGGGCAGCCTTTACAGCTCAGTCAGCTGGGCCGCTGCCGGCTGGCTGGAACCGGCCCGGGTCGGCGGGCTGGCGCAGGTGAGGAAGGGCTATGGTCAGAGGAGTGAGACGCAGACAACGATGCCGACAACATAACATGCAAACACGGCGTTGCAACCCACACTAAGCGCGATGGCGTGGTCTTGGGGGACGTCATGAAACGAAAGGAATGCCCATGAAACCTCAGCGTTTGCTAGCAATTGGTGTGGCGAGGTGTCAAGTGGCACATCCGAGGTGCGAGGAGTGCAACATCCGAGGGGTAACATCCAGGCGGAGGGTGCCGCTCGAGGGAGCATCCGAGGTGCAGCGCCCGGAGTCCAGTAGTTGAGGATAATTGAGGTGTAAATCCGAGGTATGGCTGGTACAACATCCGAGACGAGGCAAAATCGCAGCTTCTCCAAACGGCTTCAGAGCTGATTGATTCTGATTGATTCATTTGCAAAGGCTTCCAGGGTGTTCGTTGTGTTTGTGCTGATCAAGAATTTCCGCAATGCTTCTGAAAGTTTGTCCTGATGGGCCCGCCATATACGCCAGCGCAATTAGCAACCGAAGCACAGCACAGGTACGCGGGTCTAATGTCCTTGGACAAAACATAGTTCATTCATGTGCTATGGCGGCTGTCATGGATATTTCCTACGTTTGCAGTCTTGGACTGCCTGCCACATGGCCAAGGTATGATGCGAAGGAACATGTGTGTTTTGAGGCGATCTGTCATGCCGTTTGGATTGGTGGCCAAGGTCCATGTCCCTGCAAAGACTTCCAAGGCCTTGCTTGCTTTTGCCTGAGCCTGCGGCCAGCTTGCGGCAACCTCGCAACACCCGATTGATCGCCGTGCGCGCTGTGCAAGAGTTGTTGCTGCGGCACTGCAATCAGGCAGAGGCGCTGCAGGTCGCAAAGCCAGTGCAAAGTCTTGAGACGACGCAGGCCCGAGCGGGAACCTCATAAGACAGTAAAGAAGGCAGGGAGGCAAGGAGAATGCAATGAGAAAGCAGGTTAAAGCAGCAAACAACGAAAGCCGGGGGAAAGGAATGAAACGAAGGGAGGAGGGAGCAAAGAACAAGGGTAAAGCTATTTCACCGCGTGGACCGAGAAAAAAACATGGTAACGGCGCCTGTACACGCCTATGCGAATGTAGAGAGATCAGAATGAGGATGTATGGCTGAGTATTGGGATTTGAAGGCCGGGTCATGGGTTTTATGTTGAGGGTTTTTTGCTTGCAGGGTAACGCAGTAAAGCCCAGTTTGTTGGGCTGTATTTACTACCAGTGTTTTGGGCATGGTCGCGAAAGGCATGGACGCTTGTCGACGCTTGTGACAGATTTTCTTGTTCCACTTCTTTTGTGCAGTATGTTAAAATGCTGTAAATGCCACTGTTTTTGGGAAAAACTGCTGTAAAAAACAGTGTTTTGGGCATGGTCGCGAAAGGCATGGACGCTTGTGATAGATTTTCTTGTTCCAAATCCTCGTGCAGTATGTTGTGCAAAGAGGCGAAAACGCTGTAAATACCAGTGTTTTGGGCATGGACGCAATATGAATGACGTTCTTATCCCCCCCGCCCCCAAGCCCCCCCCCCCCAATACCCTGAAACCTGCAAAAACGCATAGGCGCGTACAGGCGCCGTCACCAATAACAGATGCCAGTGTAGATTAGATCCAGTGTAGACCCCAAACAGTGCTCTTGAAGACAGTGCAGGACCACTTCAAGAGCACCCTTCCAGGAAAGCCTGAACCCCCAACCCTGAAGCTTGAACCCTGAATCCTGGATCATCCGATTACTTGGACCATACAGAGAAGATTAGCATTCATCCGGCAAACTTTCACACTGGAAGTGTTTGGGCTGTAGGCCCCGTAGAGGTTAGGTTTGGTGGGCTTGAGTGTGCCATGGCACGCATGCCTCCCTGTCCATAAAATTCCATGAAGAGTACACACCTCGGGGTACCTCAAGAGCAAACTTTGCACCCCGAAAGCTACTGTATATTATGACAGAAGAAACCAGCTGTTGAAGCTGTTGCGAGTCGGTTGTGCATGTTGTGCAATGACGGGAATGACACCTTGAAACTTCTGAGAACTGAGAACGAAACAGCGCTTTCCCCTGCCACCTACGCATGTGTGCAGGATGTCGGCGTCGCCGGACAGGTTGACCCACCACTGCAGAGTTCTGCTTTCGCCTCGTTCAGACTGCTCCAACGCGTGGCAATGAGCTGCTGTCCTTCTTGGATCATTGCTCCTGCTAACGTGATGCAGCACGACAAGGCAGCTGCCAGCAAACCACTGTACATGGTGAGGGGCCTGGGCACGCAAGTAAGGCTTGAACCTGCAGGTCTCATGCACATGCCCTACCAAGGATGCAACGTACGTTTTTCAATGCCAATCCAGCATTGAACATTCAAAGCTCAGTGAGGATGGATGGCAGTTGAGATCAGCTGTTGCAAAAAACAAGGGCCTACTTGCCTGCTGCGTTGTTTTCAGGACGGCCAGGCCTTGCTCGTTCAGCTTCCGCCTAAGTGTGTTGCACCACTGTTGCACAAGCGTTGCACTATGCTGCCGCTGTCTGAGCTTGTTTCTGCTATCTGTTGCGGCCATTCAATTCGGCAGGCCCCGATCATTCCAAGTGTCCAAGTTGTTCGGATGCCGTGCATTAAACGGAGACAGCAGTTCGATCCATTCCTGCTGCGTGCACAAGCCTTTCTGCTTCGCTGGCTTTGCCCTTTCTTGCTTCCCAAGGCTCAACCAGACAGTGTTTCATCCTCAAGGTGGAGGCTGTGTACCTTGTATTCTTTGGTGCATCCATGATCTGAGCTTTGAGCTTTGGTCGTTTCTGGCACACCAGGCCAGCCCACGGATATCGGGCGGTTGCTGGCAGATGGTGTGCACGCTGCCAATGTGGAAGTTGAGTTGCCATGGCTGTCATCTACATAATCTCAAGGCCTCTACATATTGTCTCAAGGCCTCCACTCGACGTGGTCTTCGTTTCGAAAGACAAGGCCCTCACCTGAGTGAACGGAGGTCATTGCTTCCTGGTTCATACATGCTTTCATCAAGTTACAAGGTGCTTGCCTGGCTACTACAGGTCGATCAATCAACGATTTGGCACGAATGCAGAGGCATACTCGGATGGTGCGAACATGGCCAGACAGGCGGCCGCAAGATCAACTACGCTTTGGGCAGGTGATGTTCAGCACTGGCTGGGCAAAAAAGGCCCGCTCAACTGCAATTGCGAAGTCTTCTTGACCTGTCTTGACTTTGAGAATGGCAGAGGTCTGGAGGTCACGTGTGTAGTAGACGACGCTCGACGTCGTCTTTGCGCAAGGCTTCACTCCGCCGGACACCTCTTGGCGCGGCCCTCGTCCGTGCGGATGGTGCTTCTTAAGTCTTCAACCAAGGCAGCTTTGCACATGCTAGAACATCATCATGATCTCTTCCCCGGCTCACAAAGCCTAAGCCCCTCTAGAAAGTTTTCCTGGGAGACCCGCTGCTTTCAATAGACGCATGCAGGGTTAAGGGCGGGGGCCTTGAAGCCGAAGCGGATGATGGCTTTGGAGGCTTTTGGGCCATGTATCGTGCCCTCCGCAAGCCTCCGCAACGCGTTTTCTCGAAAGAAACCTGAAATATGTCGGTTACGATTTCCGTGCTTTTCCACGCATCACGGCCTGCGTCGCGTGCTGTCGAATACGGAAAATCCAAAGCACGACCGTGCGCTTTTCCACGTGTTGAGCGTTGGAAACTGCAATTTTTTCTCCACGTGTCCGTCCCGTCCTGCGGTTTCTCATCCGGGAAACGTGCAGATTGCGAAATGCATCTAGACATATTAATTGTGCCTCCGTGCATTTTCGTTTGCAGGCTGCACTAAAGAAATCCTCTGTATCAAACATTTGGTCCGGACCGTATGTTTTATGGGGGCGGGGTGGGGGGGGGGGGGATTGGCACTGGTCATTCGAATTAGGGTGGACGAGTAGCTTTCAGTGCTACAGCACAGTACAGCGCTACACCGTCCGATAGTTTGATGCTTCAACAGACGTCGCGCGCAGTCACATACACCCCAGACACAGTGAGAGCTTGGCGTTGTAAATGGTTTCGTAAATTTAAATGATTTGAGATAAAGGGTTCGAGGAACTTCTTGGACGTAGGCGAGGGGCAGCAGTCGAAGCTTAAAGTTACCAAAAGGTGACGCCACGAAAAGTTCCGGAAAGCTTGTTCCTGCCTGCTAATGTTACTAAGTGCTTGAGCACGTGGGCTGCGTGGCATGCAAGCAGTTTACGTGGCGAGACATAGCAGCAGTGAAGCACTGAATGTCAGGATGTTGCTATGATGGCCGCGGGCTTTCGCTGGAAGCCAGGTCGGTGGGTGTGTGTGTGTGTGTGTGCGCATTTGTGCCAGCTCCTGCCATTGTTGCAAACTGATTGGTGAAATTTGCTTGAAGCAGTACTAGCGGCTAGCAATAGGGGTTCAAGTCGTCCCCGTACACGTGCCACATCTTACAAGAGGGAGGGAGGAAGGTGCTCCCCCCACACCACCCCCCACCCTCCTCACCGCCCCCCCCCCCCCCCCCCGCTTCACCACTCCCCCGCCCCCCCCCCCCCCCCTCCCCCGCCTTCACCACCAACCCCCCCCCCCCCCACGCTCCAAGACCCCAAGGTTTAGGGGTTTTTAAGGGTTTAGGGCTTTTATTGTTTTGGGGTTTAGGGGTGTTAGGGTTTAAGGGTTTTTACTTTAGGGGTTTGGCTCAAGCCGAAGGCTCCTTATAGAGTTGTTTTGGAATATGAAATCATGTTTTCGGTAAGAGGATAAGGGGCCCGCACAGAGAGCTTTCAGATACAGATATGGGCAAGCAAGCATTTCTGAGTGACTCTCTTCCTTTGGGTCTTAGCCACACTTTGGGGGATGATGACAAAGACATGCTCTTCTACGCGACGCTTGCCTCACAGGGCTTAGGCCTGGCGCTCAAGCGAGCTTTCAAGCTCGCGCACATGCATGGATCCGTGAGCTGCTTTTCCAATCTGACTTTCCTTCCTTCATTCGAGTACAGCGTTTAGTTTAGGGGTTCTAGGGTTAAGGTTTCGGGTTTAGGGTTTAGAGTTTTTCAGGGTTTATGGATTCGGCGTTTTCAGGGTTTAGGGTGAGCGTGGGAACGGGCTGGGCAGAAAGGGCAGCAGTCGAGTCCCTTGTGAAAAGGGTGAGCAATTCTAATTAGGAATTCCTTTGCTGCCATGGACGACGGATGAGGAAAGCTTCGGAAGAACTTGGTATCCTGCTTGGCTTACGCTCTGCGACTTTCTTCTAAGTTGGGATGCTCTTCCGCCACTCCAAAGCTGAATCAGGCGCTGCGAGAGCTGGTTGAAGACTCTACCCGCAAGCAAAAACGAAAAAACAGCCTGTTCGAGGGACTGAACATGCAGGAATCGGATGAGGCCGTGCACAGCTCCCAAACTTGTCCCCGGGAAAGCCATCCGCGAGTCAAGTCTTGTCATGTGAGCACTCAGACCTCTGAAGAACTAATGTCCGAACAACTGTGCCAAGCTCTCGTGCAGAGATACGAGGAGTTTCTTCAGACGGTCATTCGGGAAGTGACTGACTTTGATCGCAGACTTGTGGCGCAGGAACGCGCTGCGCCATTCGACATGGTTCGTTCAAGGATCTCCGTGAAAGTGAGCCTGCGTTGCAGCCTGAGTCTATACAAACTCTACAGAATAAGCGCAGAGCACAACTCCTTGTTGGCTGACGTTGTTCCTTGCATGCTTTCGCTACAGTATCGTTCCTACAAGCGGTCAGAGCCTGGATGATAGCATCAGGGCTCGCTTTCCGGCAGATTATGGTGTTAGAAGAGGTAGAGGCTCGAGTCATTGACAAAGGCACGAGCCTTCCACCTCAGTTACAAGCAGAGCACGCCAGGAGACCTGAAGCAGAAAAGGAGTTTTTAGGGCTTGGGCGTAGGGCGTTTTTGGGGTTTGTAGGGTTTTGGGGGTCTTTAAGGATTCGGGATTTTTAGGGTTTATATAGGGGTTTTTAGGGTTTAGGGTGTTAGAGGCTTTTATGGTTCAGGGCCTAGGGGTTTTTAGGGCTTAGGGGCTTAGGGGTTTTTAGGGCTTAGGGCTTTTTAGGATTTAGGGTTTACGGTTTAAAGGCTTTCAGCGTTTTTGGATTCAGGGCTTAGAGGTTTTCAGGGGCGTTTTTGGGCTTAGGAGCTTGTAGGGTTTATAGGACTTACAGGTTTTTAGGGCTTAGGATTTTTGGTTTAAGTTTTCGGGTTTAGGGCTCAGGGGTTTATAGGGTTTAGGGGTTGTTGGGATCTAGGTTCAAAATATTTATGGGTTTATGGTTCAGGGGTTTTGGGGTTTAGGGCATAGGGTTTTTAGGGTGTAAGGTTTAGGGGGTTTTAGGGTTAGTGGATGTTGAAGCTGCTTTCGACTCGATACGGCACCAAGAGCTTGCTGACTATTTGTCCAACAGGCAGGAGAGAAACACCCTCAAGAAATAGCACATCTCCTACGCATCAGTACGTCCCCCACCATGCATGCCAGCTTCAGAGGCAGAACGTGGACTCAGAGACAAAGACGTGGAGTTCAACAAGGGGGTAGTCTTTCCAGCTTTGTATTCTCATGCATGTTGGCTGGTGCAGACCTGGACCGGCTGGGGTCATGCCACTTTGCATCCAGGGTTTGGCTATATATATATATATATATATTATATATTATATATATGCATATTGATGACATCCTACTCAATCTCATTTCCTGGGAGCAAGCTGACAAGCTCTTGCCAGATCTAAGCAACCATATGGCAAGGTTTGGTCTCAAAGCAAATTGAAAGAGGTCAACTATCATGTCTGTCCATTGCTTCAGTCCCAGAACAGGGCCAGGTGACTGTGTCAGAACATTCAGTGCTCAGATCTTGTACCTGGTCCCACACGTTGCGGCATTTACGACGACAGCTTCAACGCCCGAGCCCTGAGTGTGACCTCGCCTAGATACCAGATCCTCAACCAAGTTTCTGGTAGAATACACGTGGCGGTCGAGCAGCTAGCCGAAACTGCAGCACTGGACCAGGCCCCTGCAGGCAATACAGTTCGCCTCCAGGTACACTGCAGCACGCTTTCAGTGGCTGTCGCCACTTTTCGAGACTCTGCAGCTGCACGTCAACCGGGTGAATACCGTGCAAACCACCTGCCTCGTGTTCCTCCTCAAGTTATACCTTCCCCAAGAACTGTCAACAGCACGAGCTCTGGAAATCAATATGTTTCGCCGAAGAGTTGCTAAGCTTGTGGGTATGCGCTATTCAGTGTACACATGGGCCTGAAGGAGGCGGCAGTGGCGTACAACATGGGCAGCGCAGTCACGCTACAGGAGCTCCAGGGTCTCGCTTCAAACAAGGAAGTATGGAAATCAGGCGTCACATCGGTCCAGCAGAGGCACGAGCCACAAACAAGCTTGCACAACCCCTCGCTGTGGGCAAAGCCGCTGAGTCTTCACACTGCCTGTTACGTGGATGCGGGCCGTGCTTCTCACTAGTGCCCACGATTCCAGTTATGCAGCACACTGGGTTTCGCTTGAGCATGGGTTGATGCATTACCCATTGAAAGATTTCTCTTCCATTCAGATTGTGCAGTTCTTTCGGCAGTTGCAGATGAGCCTTGCATACATTTGTCACCATTCGACTCCTTCTCGCGTTTTCTCTGAGTTGGGAGTTTGCTGGTTGTTCGAAGTCCTCAGTGAACCTCCGCACGATGAGCCGCTTCATTGGTTGGCGGAATAATGTTGTCTGCTGATTAGTGTGGCCCCCCCCCCCCTCAACGAAAGGATCCCGCGCTTTAGTGTGGGGGGGGGGGGGGGGGGGGGGGGCAATTTGGGGGGGGGGGGGTCTGGTTTTATATGATTTTAAAAGGGATGAGTTTATATGAATTTAAAAGGGATCCATATGATCCATAGGATTTTAAAAGGGATGAGCTCGTATGAGTGTAAAAGGGATCCATATGATTCTAAACGGGGTGAGACTATATGAAATTAAGAGGGATCCATACGATTTTAAGAGGGATGAGTTTATATGAATTTAAAGGGGATCCATCTATCCCAACCAAGCCAGCTCGCAAAAAAAAATATAATTCCGGGGGAGCAAACTTTTTATATTATACGGCATCCGGGCAGCTGCTGGACTACCCCCTTTGAAATTTGATTGCCCGGCCTCGGTACAAAAGAATTTTATAAGGAAATCTTAGTTTTGGGTCTGGCCTGGAGGCTGAAGATTTCAGGGCCCGACAACCTCAGGCCTCAAGGTTTAGGAAACCTCAGCCCTTAGGCCTCTGGATCCAAACCCAACTAGCCCGCAAAAAAAAATATAATTCCGGGGGAGCAAACTTTTATATTATACGGCATCCGGGCAGCTGCTGGACTACCCCCTTTGAAATTTGATTGCCCGGCCTCGGTACAAAAGAATTTAATAAGGAAATCTTAGCCCTGGGCCCGGCCTGGAGACTGAAGATTTCAGGGCCCGACAACCTCAGGCCTCGAGGTTTCAGTCTTTAAACTTTTGATCTTTGGTCTCTCAGGCTCGGTTCAGAAGCGATTTCTAGACAACAACACCATTCGACGGCCTCGCCGAAATTTTGCATCGCCCGATTTTTTTTCACAATTCCGGGGGTCCTCCTCAAATAGCTCCCCCTGAATAATTTTTGGATTTTTTTCCACAATTCCGGGGGAGCACACTAATCAGGATACAACATTAATGGCTTTCCTGAAGTTCGTGTATGTTGCTTGCTGGTTTTGAGGGATTAGAGCGAAGGGGTTTTTCAGGGTTTAGGCTTAGGGGTTTGTAGGGTTGGCGGGTGTTTACAGTTTGGGTTTCTTTAGGGTTTACAGGGTTAGGGTTCTTTAGTGGCAGGGACTTTCGGGTTTAAGGTTCAGGGGCTCTGGGGTTCGGGCTTCGGGGGTTTAGGAGAGAGGGGTTCTTGGGCTTGGGTGTAGGGGGTTTTAGGGTTTAGGGTTGAGGGGTCTTTAGGGTTTTGGGGTTTCGGGGCTTAGCGGCGTTTAGGGTTTACGGTTTAGCTGCGTTTAGGGCTTGCGGGTTTAGGGTTTTTTTGGGTTTGGGCTTTAGGGGTTTTAGGATTCAGGGCTTAGGGGTTTAACCAAAGAGAAAGAAAACAACAAATTCAGAACAGAAGCTGAACCATCTGCTGTTGGACGGGCGCCTATTGACTTGAGAGAGCCCAAGACCCGCTGGGTCATTGGGGCATGGCTATCATCTTGGGTGCCAAAACAGGGGCGAGCTTCTCTGGAGCTTACGCGCGTCAAAACAAAGGAAAAACAGAAAGTTTGCAGTTGCTTTGCATTCGGAGTGGCGGGGTGCTGATGAATCTATTCCTCCAAGTTTTGTTGCTTGAGTTGATGTTGAGGCTTCTCTGCCCACTACGCACAGCTTCTGCAGCATTTTAAAACTTGAAAAATGCGAGTGTACCCATGGGGCTGGGCGGGTGTTTGGCCGTCTTAACGCTGGCCGGAATGAGTTCCCACCACTGTGTGGCACAAGGGCTTGGTGACTTTCTGTCGACTGGTTTGTGTCGACTGGCCCGACTTAACCTCCTGCGCCGCCAAGAATTAGCAATTCATCAGAGACCTCTTTGTGTTGACATGGCTGATGTGGCCGGGTGTCCATGGCTCTTTGTGTTGACGTGGCTGATCTGAGCATGTCCATGGCAATGGCAGCATGGCGCAGGCAAAGGCTATCATTTTCCGGATGGGTGCAGGGCTCAGCTACTTCATTTTGGATGTGATTGAGTGTGGGGGTAATATGAGTTCTTGCACTGACCGTCTGCCTTGTCAAGACTAATAGTCTACTTTGCGCAGCTCAGTTAATTGTTTTTGACACGCTGCGTTTTGGCAAGTTCGTGTCTTCGGTGGGTGTCATGCTATTCAGTCCGACCAAGATGAGCACAAGTTATTGACCAACAAAGCCTCTTGGTCGAAAGTTTAACTTTCTGATCGATCGCGCTGCTTCCGCCTTCAGAAGAACCCAAAATCCTAGACCACAAGGCCCTGTCGACCCGACGGGGTGCGCACAGTCACGGACGATGCATTACGGTACACAACCAACGTAACTGCGGAAGGCCTGCGAGTGAACGGACGCGCATGTATCACTAGGCAATTGTTTGGAAACGACATCCCTGGGAACTGCGGGGGTCTTCGACACACCTCGCACAGAACAGTGTGAAACTTGAGGAAATTTGGTGGGGCTGTTGAGAACGGCACAATTCATACGTTTCATGTTCGGCTCGGCTCATGAAAGCGCGATTTCTTGCAATCCCAGGCAAGCCATGCTGATTTGCCTTGTGCACACTCGTTAATATTGACGTTGCTTTCTGTTGGTTTGTTTGCAAAAGCCGATGCATTCATGTCAGGCCTTATGTCGAATATTTGCCTTCAGAGGAGCATGAGTGCAGAGTCTCTTGAGAGGCTTATTTTGTGCGCGCGCTTGGTCAGGAGGGGCGGCAGGTGGATTTGAAGGACACAAAAGCCAAGGAGCTCGTTCTGCAGGAGCTGGCCTGTAGCTCAGAGCAGGAAAGACGGTGACATGGGCTGATCGTCGTGGGAGCCTGCACCATCCTGCACCGTTTGCGCAATCAGGCGCTTGTCATCGTAGCCAAGGCATCCAAAATGAAGGAGCTCATCGACCGGAATGCAGTGCCCCTAGTGAAGACGCCAAAACCGCTTGGTGTGTGTGTGTGTGTGTCCCAAACACAGTTGAAAATTCGAGCGGTTTTTCTTGGCTGCATAAACACGGAGTTCTGAAAGATATTACGAAGGTGTGGACGCCGTTGGATTGCAGAGAGAGTGAGGGAGCCGGTCCAAGGTTTATATATTTGCTTTAATACAGTCCCGTGTGCACCAAGTGCACGGGGGCTCGACCAACATGGAGAAGCTCTCCCAATCAACTTGAGACTTGTGCAAGGTTCCCCAAGCCTAGGAAGACGTGCTCAAACACTTTCATTCTTATTTGAGCCGGCTTGAGATGACGTGGGTTCACACTGCACTTGGAAGAAACCTCAGCCCTAAAAGCCTTGATCACAAATTGAATCCTTTGTCTGCCGTGCGAGTTTGTAAACGACGAGAGTAATATAATACATAGTAATACCTCCTCGTGACCTGATGACCCGAAAACACCCTCAAGCCCTAGAGCTTAACTTGGCAAACACACCACGGGAAGGGATGGGGTGGACAGTCGAACTACAACCCCAAGCGACGTTGGGAGTGACCAGAACGTGTTCTTTGCACGTTCTCCAGAAAGGGCAAGAGTCACGGTGGCGCGACATACAGCAACGGAGTGCACATGCCAGTTGCGTTGTATAAGGATGCTTTGGCCTGGCCGAACATTTCCATATGGTTGAATGCCAGACTCTTGCAACGTCGAGGTTCCCACAGGCATCGGATATGTAGATGGGACCCGGACAATCACAATGGCCAGGAGCTCATGACAATGAAGCCCTGTCTTGGAACGGGCCGGACGTTCGAACACTGTTCAACAAGGATGGGGTCGCTTGCGGCTGTGGTGGCACTCATGTGGAGTTCTCCGGCGAGATCGGTGAGGCGGGCAACCTGTGCATGGGGCAATGCCTTGCGCGTACCTGACTTGCAGGTTACCATCAAGAAAATTCAGTCCAAGCAAGGCAACATTCGCGTGTCATATGCTCTTGCTTGAATGTGTGACGCATAGCAAGAGGCACACGCTTTGGCGAAAAGAAAAGTCTGGACATCGATTGATAGAGGAATTCGGAGGAATCGGGTTCAGATTGCAGACACGGGAGCAGTCACCGCTGCCGGCATGTTGCAGACCCTAGTTCAGAGGGAACCAACCCGCTGGTAGGGTACCATGTGCGAGCTGAAGTTGTTACAAGGTCCTAGCTGGTGCTAGAGTGCCATCTCCTCAGCGACTCAAGCCTGCGCATTCGGATTTAGACTCGGTCTGCGGCAGGCGCACCGTATAGTATCAGAAGAGTAGACCATACGAACATTGGAGTAGAATTGGAGTTCTTGTATGTTCTTGCTGTGGTCATGGAATTCCATCGGAAAGAAGGATTGTTCGTCGAACGTGCGATCTGCTGATTCAGTCTGAATCTTGTGTTTCGGTCCAAAGGTGTTGACATCCTGAAGAGTGACTGAACTGTTTGGCTGCTTCGAACAGCATTGTATCGGGAGAGCTGGCACAGGCTGCAGCGTGCAGCTCTGCTGGCCCAAAATCCACTGTCAAACTTTATTGAGGCTTCAATCGTGCGATGCGAGTTGAAACTCACGTTCGGCGCAGTTCTTCCGCCAAACTCTGTCTAGAGGTTGCGACATTTCTCCTGCGCCGTAGACCTGGAGCAAGATAGATTCAGATAGATGCTGGTTCAGGTGTGTCTCGGAACAAGTTGAAGCTCGCACCATGCCCACGCACCCCCTCTCGACCATAGCTACTGAATCCGCACGGCGGGTGCCTGGGTTTTGATAGGCTGGCAGCCTCTATTGACATTTGCATTTGTGCCGTGGGCATTATAAGTTTTGGCTCATGTGACACGTGAATAGACTTCCAGGGCCCACACAGAACCTAGCACAGGGCCGCATTTCTTGCGGAGCAAGTCGCTGTCGCCATGGGGTGTGATATGCTGCCATTCAAGTTGTCCTAGCCATCGTTCATATTCCCGGTGTAATTAACGTTGCGGACGTTGTCATGACTCTGGATGTTCTTGTCAATTCAACGAGTTCCTGATTCGCCATGTTGTTACGCAACTGCTACCACCTCCACATCTGACTGAGCAGCTATGGGGCAGGGGCCACAGCACCACAACTACAAACAGCGCAGCTTTGATGCCTTGTGCCAAGGTCCAGGGTGCGCATCAGCGAGAGCCGATTGGTGGGAAGTGTCCCGCCAACACAACATTGCAACATAGCTTGCTAACGCTACCCACAACGTTCAGACTCGACCACGCCAGGTGTTGAGCTGGAAGGGCCGATTTGGGTGGATACGCGCGGACAGGCGCATCAACCATGAGGAAAGTGCCGCGGCCTCAACATTCCAAGATGGGAACAACATGAAGCAAACCATAGCAAACCCGATTCTTGGTCACTATGTCACAAAGCACCTGTGCCTTGATTTGCTGATTAGCTGTTGATTCAAGCCATTTCAAGCCGTCCTCTCCAGCCATGTCCAGCCATGTGCAGCCGTTTCTTCATGCAAACCTATGCAAACCTTTCCGCTGCACAGCAGCAGTTTCGTCATGGTTTGGACGAACTGCGCTGACCCTAGGCAAAACACGGTGGTCGAGTGTATGCCGCGCTCTCAGTGAATGAATGGCCACTTGCTTACTTGAAGAAGCGAAAACCTCAGGTGCACATTTCTGATGTGGACGGCTGGGAAGAGCTCAAAGAGAATGCCCGCGCTTCTGCCTTATTGACACAGGACCTGGACTCTGCTAATTGGTTGCCGATCATTTTCTGCTCCCCTGTCAAAGCTGTTGGTCATTGCCGATTTGTTGCCTTGTGCCGTTGTGCATCGTTGTGCTAAGGTGTCCTTCATAGCCTACAGCGACGGAGATGGTGTGGGCGCAGAACAAGTTCGAGCCTGCTCCCATGTGTTGAATTTCACGACATGAACTCAAGTATCCGAATGGAGCTGACGGTTGCAGTTTTGTTTTGGTGGGGCGGCCACTTGCTTCTCGTCTTTTTATGACGGATTTTGTCCCTGTATACCGAGGTGGAGTCCGAAGTGCCCAGCGCCAAAGCATACCCAAGTGGTGCTGCAAGCGCATGCGTCCTAGGAGTCTGAGCTGAGAACTCGACACAGCATTCCTCAGCAAATCTCGGTAACGGCTTCATTGGCTTCGCATCGACGAGGTGGTGAAGACGCGAGCTGCGCCTTCCACGCCTTCCACACAGAGATCGCAAGTTGGAGGCGCAAAGACGCTCCCAGAGACGGCGGCTCCATATGGCTCCATGAACACAACATTTTCCAACATTGGCTTTCAGCTGCTAGCTAGCCGGGGTCATGCGTGGAGACGGGATAGAAATTGGTTGCTTGCAAAGCTATCTCGCGGCGACCGTGTCAATAGAGGCATCACCGTTTCTTAAAGGTTGAGAGGCAAAGCAAAGGCAGCTTAGGGCGCGCATCAGTGTCAGAGAAGCATGCCAAGCTTCATGCCCAGCATCACCAAGCCATCGCCAGTTTCACACTTAGCCATCAAAGGCAGCTTGCAGACACCTTTTCGGAACGCAGTGTGTTTGTGCGTGCGTGCGTGGGTGGGTGGGTGGGTGGGTGGGTGGGTGTGTGTGTGTGTGTGCGGAAACTTGGTTGCTAAGCAAAGCAGCGCATGCTTACAGTTGTTCCTGCGTTGACTGCATTCTAATTCAGACTGGTCCCGGACGGATAGGATCGGATGTGTCATTCAGCAATCTTGGCAGGTTCCCAGTCGACGCCTCCACAAGCAGTTTCCAAAGCCGTTGCCGCTACTAGGGCGGCCCCTTCGGTGCCGTGCAAACCTTAGAGTCTTAGAGTTGCTTGCCCTTTTGGTCAGTGGTTCACCTGTGTGGATTCAAATACATTTCTAGGGCCGCTGGAGCTGAGGTTGAAACCTAAGCCAAAGCCGCATCCATGCCTGGCCAGGCACGTCTTTGCGGCAACGAACTGTTAACACCCGAAGATCTGGGATCCTTACGGACGGTTTCTTCGGCGGACATACACTTCGTACCCGTTCCTTGACGGGGCAGGCAGAGGAACCCAATTTGCAGCATGTGAAGGAATTTGGCTTGAATCATGTCGATTTGCGAAAGCAGATCCACCACATACCGCATTTTGGCCAAGTTCGAGGTAGGCAGCGGTGAGGTCGCCAACGCATACATGTTGACACTTCTGGCCTAGACGTGTTAAAATACTAGTAGACTAAAGTAAAGTATGGACATCCGCCAAGATGGGAAGGCATCAGACCTCCTCTTGAGGGGAACACAGACAGCTACGCTGAGAGATATACGGTAGGTTCTAGACATGCCCCCGTTGCTGGCTGAGATTTCACGAGATTTCGGTGGGCGGGGGAGCCCTGCTGTAGCCAGATACAAACGCTTGTTCCTGAAACTTAGACTGGCTAAGGTTTCAAAGTGGGGTTTCAAATTGTCAGTCCAAGTTGGGAACTCCAAGCCTGCGACTACGTCGGATGTCTGCAGCCGTCCTCTTGGGGCGACTGCCTCATCTCCAGCCTTGGAACATGACTGCTTCGCTGATTCTTGCTTAGGTTGGGGTGTAGTTTAGGGGTGACGACATGTGTGGAGCAGGGGCATGAAGGTGTCTCTTGAGGAAATGCTTTCCAACAGTAGTGGAACAGTAGAAGTGCTTGAAACTGCTCCTAGATTCCGCGCACCACTACTAGTCACGACGGTACCAAGCTTGACACACGGAAGGTAAACCGGCTTCCAATCGATTTTAATCCAGGTGCCCATAGACTAGAAAGACAGCAGGTTGCGTAAAAGTCGTGTTAAGCCTCACAAGCCCGACATGTCGTTCAAGCCAATCTCTCGAGTTGACGTCGAATCCCCCACCCCCGAGATGAGAAATTCTTTCGAGCACCGGTGTTGCTGCGTGGTGCATTGGTTGAGACGCAGCGTTTTGCCTTTCGCATGTTTCTTGGGGATTGACAGCATTTGGAATGGCTGCCTTCGTCGCGAGCTTCTGTAGCCGAATTGCTGATGCAGCAAAGAGTTCCTGCTGAAGCGGGGTTAAGGGCCTTTGTGTTGTGGTCCTTAGACCACTTTGGGGGGGGGTCGATCTGGTTGCGTAGGAGAGAGAGGCCTAAAGGGCACGGGAGGTCCCTATAACCTCTGACGCCCACGGCTGCGACGAACTTGTCCTGAAAGTTGCCGTGCACATCCTGATGCCAAATGCCCTGTCGCGACAGGCTGAAGGCGCTTCTTCCAAGCGACTGCTGCTGCCCAATTTCTCTCACATCGCTGGAGGAGGGCCGGACCTGCAATGCCGTCTCAGTGATTTCTGTGTCGGGCATGCTCAATCTTCAAACTCGATTCACAATCCGTCACCAGGGCTGATGGAGGTCAATAGCTGTCACATAATGCCATGGCACGTGGTCCGTCCAAGTCCGTGCATGCGATGCGCGGCTTCACTTTGTTTTGCAGAGCGTGGGCTATCTAGGAGCTACCGGTGGATCCATTTGGGCTGCCGGGCCCACAGCCATTGCAGCGCTGTGCTCCGCTTGCTAAACTGCAACCAGGGCAAGGCAGCACAAACTTTGGAATCTGTGCTATCAAAGTGCTCGAGGTTGGGCACGACCGAGTCTTCCGAGGTTCATTCCGAACACTCAACAACTCAGGCAGTCAAGCCGTTTTCGTGAGTCAATGGTCGCAGGTTCCCAAAGAAGGCATTTGGGGCCAAGCTGCAGAAGACCTTCTTCGTCCCTGCGCAAGTTTGCTGCGTTGACTTCCGGCTGTTTCTGCCACTTCTGGACTTGTGGTTAGTTAGTCACCCGGCCTGAGGCGCAAATCCGCAGCAGGTCATCCACTGGTTTGATGGAAGGCCGTGCTGGCTGCAGTGAAAGAAAGGTTGCTTGGGCGATCTCTCAAAGGTTCCTCGCATCGTTCCTTGTCTCGAGCGGCCAGCTCATCGACCCAGTGAACAGGAGGGAACTGTCCCGAGGCAATGCCTGGACGGCATGTTCTTGTACTTTAGCCGCCCCAGCACACAGTCACAGGTGAATGCAGATCGTTGGACGATTACATCTGTGCCCATGGCTGTCCCGCAGTGCATGTCTCTATCTCAGCCAGCGACAGCCTGTTGCATGAATGCTCGTGTTGCAAGTCTAGGTCGCTGATGCGTTCGACCTTGCAAATGCTGTGAAGACGACGGCGCAGCAGGCAGCTGCACCATGCTGCACCAGCACCCGCACAGCAACGTCTGTTTCTTTTGGAGAAAGGCGGAAGGGCCGGCTGCTGTGAGAATGGCTGCTCTGGAACGGGAGGCCGAAGCTTACGCTGCATTCGAAGCCCCAGTAGGAGCACACTAGTGGCATCGTTTTTCTCGTCAGGGTCCAAAAAAAGCCGACACAACACTCCAGTGGCCCAATACTCCCCACAGCCCCCTGGTTCTGGGCGTATGTGGACGTAGGTTTTTTTCAGGCCTAGGACATCTTGGGTCTAGTTCTCAGGGCGTTCGGGCTTGAATACAAGGATTCATGTCAGCAGCTGGCACAAAGCCCAGAAAAATTCAACACAACCAAGGACATGTAGCGCGGCATAGCAGCAGCATTTCAGGGCTGAGCCTACCTAAGGCCTATTTTCGCAAAGCTCAAGCTGATGGAAATATACCTTGGGGCTTGGAGAAGCACGGTGATCGCCATACCAAGAAGACGATTATGGTGTTTGGTTGCTTTGTGGCTTGAGCTAGAGCAACACGTGACACGTGGCAGGACAAGCAAAAGTTGTTTGATAAGGGTTGCCTCGGCTGCCCTTTGATTTCTGATTTTTTGCGTGCACCTGGGAAAGCAGGAGTTTGTTGGGAGTTCATGTACGAGGGGATTGCGAATTAATTGTGGGCGGCGGAACCGTTAGGTATCGCATTCGGTTAAGGAGAAAGACCGAGAGCTGGAGGCGTACAGTATGTGATAACGGTTAGCACGGAGAATGAGACAACTACGTTGACTACAGTCACTACAGCCAGCGGATGTTTCAGCTGCTGGCTTCATTCTACCACGTTGTTCCTGCTTGCACGTGATCAAACCTTTGAGACTTTGAGATTACCGGCATCACACAGCGGAGGCTTCATGTAATTTGCCAGTTGATCCCGACCTGAGTTCTTTGCATTCTTTCGCCGATTTGATGCTTGGAGCTCTTCCAAGATAATTTGGTATTGGCATTGTGGTCTTGTTGACACACCTTTAATGCTTCTACAGTAGCAACTAACTCCTTTGGTGTAGTGAGACTTCTTACAGCTTCGCACTGGATGCTTCTGCCCCACGTACGTTCGTGTCTTCGAACATGTTGCATTGACCATCTTTCCTGTGAAAGATTCTAGCAGGCTGCTTCGATGTTGCGGAGCCTCTTCGATTTTCGTTCTGTCAGGCACTGGCTTGTAAAGGCACTCGCATTGTCCTCTTCCTTTCCCTGCTCCTGGAAAGGAGCACTGGGCCAGCAGCTGCGTCCTCAATCGAATCGAAGTATTGCGTGACGCTTCGTGGTTGGAATGCGGATGAATGCAGGCATCCCAGGAGCAAGGTTCAGATCTGAGATAGACTTGACGTGAAGTGCGGAAACGCGCGGGCCAGAAGAAGAAGAAGGGCAAGCATGAAGCAAGGAGCAGAGCTGGACACGTTGGCTTTGGAGGCCCCATGCACCAGCATGAGCTGAACAGGATGCCTCTGTGTGCAGTCACTGGCTATCATGGTCCGGCAGGATTCGGAGCAGTCGCCATCACACTGGCGCGTTCCTGTGTATATCGGATATCGCATTGGGTTTTCTAAGTTCCTATCAGCTTCAGACTGTTCAGACTCAGGCCTGCGCTTGGAGCTTCCCAGGACCGTTTGTCTTGGAAACGACACGAAACGACTGACTTGGTTTCCAAAGGGGCCCTTGAAAGGGCCCCTGCATGCAGGAAGCTCCAGCAGGACAGCCGGCACAGCCGCAGAGGCGTGGTAGCCGGTTAGCCAGCATGTTTTGCATGTGCTGTTGCTAATTGGCAGTAAAGTTGCAGGCGTATTCGTGCTTGCACACGAAGGACGACATGCAGCTCAAACATGCTTAAATGTTTTGGGGTACGACAGGTGCAAAATCACTGTGCGCAGGACGGTTCATGACGATGGCGGCTTGCAGGTGGTAGATGACACAGAGTTCGACGAAGAGTATGAGGAGCTCGGGGAACACACGCGCGAGCTGATCTCATGGTGCTGGTCATGCATCTCAGGAGGAGGACGTGGATGAGCCGCTCTTCGGACCTGCCGACCCCACTCTTGCCGAGGATCGACGTGGGGTGGTGAGCTGCATCGAGCTTTGAACTGCGTGTGGTCGCAAGCTGCGGCAAGCATTGGCATTGGGCAAACTCAATTTCGTGACCAGTCTGCATCTGCTCCACGCCGGGCGAGGGCCGTCTGGCTCTTGGCTTGCAGCTGCCATGCAAGCGTGCAGCTTAGCCTGGTCCTTCAGGCAAGGCTGCCTCGCAGTCGCGGTGATCGAGCGCAGGCCAAGACGGCTTGATGTTCTATAGCTCTCACAGCGACAGATTGCCGACCTCAGCCCCCATGATTTGCAGATCACTTTCTCTGTCACTGGGCGTGCCCGTATGGAGCCCGTTGGAGAAGGTGCGATTCGAATCCGCATGCGTTGAGCATGTCGCGAATGTCTCCGGCAATACTTAGAAGGTTAGGCCGATCGGAAGAGATCTGTTTCTTAGGTTTTGGTTAACCATCGACGAATCAATTCTTGAGCGATCTTGAGCGAATCAGGCCGCAGTGGAGGGCAGGCTGCCGCTGAAGTGCGATTTGCAATGCCATCATACAGATCCAGGCAGGACATTTTTGATGACAGGCTGGTTCTTCACAGGCACGGCAGGCTACTCAGTTGGAGGAGTGTTGCGTGCCTCAACACCAGCTCCATGATCTTGTCATCACGCCAAGCCCATGAGTACTGAAGCAGAATGCAACACAGTCTTGCTGCAATTGTGCCACTCCAACCTGCTTGAACAGCATGGCACCCGCGGTTACCTCACGTTCGTCCTCTGGAGGGTTTCCAGGGAAGCAGGGCTGCGATGGACGGTCAAATCGCTCGACTGGGATGTTCCGTAAAATGTTCAGACTCGTGTAAGCAGCGTGCTTGCTGCAAGTCAACTGTTGCACAGCTTTCGTGACATAGTGTATCGGCCCCAAAATCCGCGAAAGGACAGTGAAGGGGACAACAGCCAAGAGGCCTGGTAACAACGTTTTGTGGTGCTCGCTGAGTCACTGAGACGTCAGACGTCAAGCAGCCCTCCAGGATCCAGATGTCGTTCCTGCCCCCTTGGAAGTAGAGGCAAAAAAAGCAACAAGATGCAAGCATTTTGGGAGGACTGTCAATAGTCTGGGTACAGGCATGGATTCCCGAATGGGCCACTCCAGACTTGCATGAGCGCCTGCTCACCGAGATAGATGCAGAGGCCTCAGGTCAGATTGCGTGCTGTGAGGGGTCTATGGAACACTTGACAGATGCCAAGCCTGAAACATGCGGTGTGCCTGTAGTTGGGAACGCGATTGGCAATGATTGTACAATGTGGCTTCTGTTCTATAGGCTGCAGGTCTCAGGAGTTCAATGCAATGAGCAAGTGTGTATGTGCCTGCTTGTGTTTGCAAGGTTGTCTCGGCAATGTTTCCAGACGAGTGCCAAGTGCTGACGCCGGAGGTGCACCGACACCTTCAGGCAAGATGGAGTTTGTGGTTCGATCAGACAAGATGTGTTGACGGCGTCTCGATGGCTGACCAGGAGTGCTTGTCTAGCGGGCGCGTCAGTCGCCGCCCAGATCCATTGCGCATGCAGGCCTGCAAGCTAATGATGGTCTGCCGTTCCGATTCACCCTCTGTTCCTTCAATTTCAAGTGAGCTTCCGCACATTCCAAATTCCGCAGCAATCTACACATGCAAACCGCAGAAAGGTAGCAAACCATGGGCTTTGGGAGAAGGGGTAAGTAAGCCGTGTATGCAGGCGGGCGAGCAGAACGTTCTGCGAAACATGGAACCTGCCCCAGGTCGCGCAGCACATAGATGGTCCTAGTGGAGGATGCACGGCCAGCGCCCAACTCCACATGCGGAGCAGCATTGCAGCATTGGAGCAATGCAGCCAGTCTTTCGTCCAGGTGAACCTGGAATTTTCTTTGCCACCGCAGCACTCCCAGTCGCCCAGCGGACCTCGCACCCATTCTTGATATTCCTCTTAGTTGCGGACGCTGCAGGTTTTACCCTTTGCATGAACCAAGCTTGAATCTCAAAGCTTCGGATGAAGGCAACAGCGTCGTTCACACCGGTGTCTTGACGGTTAACTTAAGCAATCACATGTTGCGGAGGAGCGCCTCCGTGGGTACGTGACGCACTTCAAAGTCTGCAAGGGACATCTCTGCTGAAGTGTTGCTCTTTGCGCTGTGTGTAGAAAGTTTGGTGTGCTAGTGCAGATCCGCCCTGTCGTCTCAGAACCTTGCGAACAGAGCTTCACAACCTCGAGGGCTCGGAGGCGTGCTCCAGAATGCGAAGTTTCATGGAAACTTTCACGGACCTTGAGCCGATGGCAGCCGGCAAGGTCATGGTAAAGGCAGTTGAGTGGCTGACCTCCCAGCTCAAACCTTCAAAAAAACTGATTTCCAAGCGCTCCAAGTCTCAGGTTGACCCAACACGGCCCCACTGCCCTTGCACGTGAGCGCCGTGTCCTTGCCTGCTTTGTGATATTTTGTGATGCTGTGTTTTGCTGCGGCTTGTGGCCTCTAGACTCTATAGACTCTAGACCCTTTTTGAAATCCTCTGAAGGCGCAGAGACCAGCGCCAAACCAGCAGCCAAGAAGCAGGCCGTGCTCTCACAAGCCTTCCTTGTCTTTCATACGTTGCCTACTGTGTTGGAGCCTGGGAATCTTACAGGTAAAAATAAAGATGAGGGGTACACACGGGTGTGATTTGTTAGCACGCGAATGTCGTGAAATGAGGACCCTGAGAACCCCTGTCCCAGCTATATGCTTCATCGCGTGTTGTTGCACGTGAAGCCCGGTGGTCATCAGGCAATGTTTGCAAAGCGGGTGTGCTGGAGCTGATACAGGAAACCTGTAGAAAGAGAGTTCAACATACTCGCACAAGTGCTGACAGTTGCAACAATTGCTTGCGTAGGTATTCTGCTCAAGCTGCTCTTGGGTGCTGCTTGCTCTAGAAATACCTCCACCCCCCATCGTTTTCCATCACCCTAGGGTTTAGGGTTTAGGGTTCGGGCGCGGACCTCAGAAGCCTTTTGCAAAAGGGTTTAGGGTTTAGGGTTTAGGGTTTAGGGTTTAGGGTTTAGGGTTTAGGGGTTTAGGGGTTTAGGGGTTTAGGGGTTTAGGGGTTTAGGGTTTAGGGTTTAGGGTTTAGGGTTTAGGGTTTAGGGTTTAGGGTTTAGGGAGGTGCTGCCAAACGATGGGGGGGTGACGAAATACCTATGGAAACCGTGGCATTGCCTGCAGACGCTGCGGTCTTTTGGGGGGGGGGATGGGGTTGATGATGGGGGGGGCGATGATGGGGGGAGATGCAGGGCACCTGCACACCGTCGCACACTACAGTACTCAAAGGTGCGGATGATGTAGGCCATTGTAAGTCCCATTGCATCAGGACCGACATGTCAAGTGGCAGCTACCAGTGAGCATGAGCACTATATTTGCGGCTTCTGCTCACAGCAGCATCATGTCGGTCATGAGACCCCATGTTACATGCATGCGTGCGTTGTCCATCTTGAAGAAGGACGGATATCAATATTATATATATATATACACATGCATATATATATATATATACATATGTATGGGCGTCCGCCTATTGCGGTTCCCCTCATTTTTTATAGGTTTACATAAATGTATATAGTTCAAAACCTAAAGCATAGTTTGTTTTGCTTATTGAGGCGTGATGGGGTTCCCCTTCATTTTTAGGTTTACTTACATGTCTATAAATCAAACCCTAAACCATAGTTATAACCGCAGCAAAAAGTTACAACCTTGTCATATAGACATATCCGCAGAGCTCGTCAAATCCGATCATGATGTAGGCGCCCCAATCCTACAAGGGTTAAGGTTGACAGGTTTGGGGTTTAAGATTGGAGCATTTAAACCTAAGCCGGCAATTCAACCTAAACCCTAACCTTTAAACCCTTTAGAGTTAAGGTATAAGGGGTTAGGGCAGAGTTTTAACCTTAAGGGGTTAACGTTCGGGCATTTAAACCTTAACCCGGAACCGTTTAGGGTCAGAACATGTCAGAACCGTAAAACCCTATAGAGCGCTAAAAGGTTCAAGGTTTTAACCCTAAAGGGTGCTGAAGGTATACATGGCCAGACCTTAGGTTTGTGAACCATTGAACCCTATAGGGTTTAAAGTTTAAAGGTTTAGGGTTTAAGGTTTGGGCATTACCTAGACAATAGAACCTTAACTCTCTATAGGGCTTGAGGCTTACATCCCTAAACCTTAAATCCCATGGCAAGCAGCAAGGACAAAGGGGAGAATGCTTGCGGTTTACAATTTTAGGAGTAGGAATATAAAATACAATATGTAGGATAGTATGTATAGTGATGCCACGGCAGCATCATCTGCGGAGCACCATGCAACCATTAAACCATTAAACCATCAAACCATTAAACCAGTAAACCAATGGTTTCCCCCATATGAGAATCCCTTAAACCGTTAAACCATTAAACCATTACACCATTTACCAGCAAACCGTTAAACCAATGGTTTCACCCATATGAGGATCCCTTAAACCACTACACCATGAAAACATTAAACCATTTTCATGGGGGAAACCCTTGGTTTAATGGTGAAATGGTTGAAAGGATTCTAATATGGGGAAAGCCATTGGTTTAGTGGTTTCATGGTTTAAGGGATTCTCATATGGGGGAAACCATGGGTTTAATTAATGGTTTCATGGTTGAAGGGATTCTCATATGGGGGAAACCATTGGTTTAATTAATGGTTTAATGGTTTAAGGGATTTTCATATGGGGGAAACCATTGGTTTGATGGTTTAATCGTGTAATGGTTTAATGGTTTAATGGTCTAAGGGATTCTCATATGTGTGAACGCATTGGTTTAATGGTCGAATGGTTGAATGGTTTAAGGGAATGGGCACAAACACAGGGAACAGCTATAGGCGGTGACCCATATATACATATATATATATACGTATGTACTGTGTATGTAACGTAATGCAATGTAATGTATATGTAGATACTGGTACGATATAGATATAGACAGATGCCAGGCTTCTCCGCTTGTCTCTGGTCCCGCTAAGTAGAAGACTGGCAAAATGTTTGAGAGGCGCATCATGATTGGTCGCTCGCCGTGTTGGAAGGCGGCGTCTTGAAGCTAACAGCAGGGCCCAAAACAAAAACAAATCTATTTCGGGAAATTCCAGGCACGCTGACGTTCAGACACGGTAAATTCCGGAGTCAAAGAGGATCCGGGCGAAAACACGTTGCCCCAAGCGTTCGCAGGGTGTGCAGCAGTTCGGGGAGGCTTTTACTCGTTTTTAACACGATCATCGTGTCGGATGTGACAGTCGTCGTTTTTCGACCCTGAAATCGTCTTGGCATTCGGGGCGAGGTCTGGAGTTGCACGCACCGCTTTAACACGCTAGACACAACCACAAGCACGGATGTTCTTTGTAGCATCTTGTAGGCTGGCTGCTCCTTGCTGTTAGTGATTGCGTATGCTGGCGTAGTAGTCTTACGTCATCTTCCAAGCCTGTTTGGGTGCCTTGTGCACATGTTCAGGGCGATCTTCAATCTACACTAGGTGCTCGAAGAGACATGCATCCATCCTGTCATGCCAAGTCAAAGATCCAATCGCGATGTGCTGACATCATTCCTGAGATCGATCTGGCCCTTGCAAGTCACCTTGTGACTTTGGGACCCTAGGCCGCTAGGTATAGGGTGCCTGAACAGTCAGAAGGCGAGTTGTGGATGGGATCCTGTGGCCATTAGTATTTTGGAGTTGGCTATTGTGGCCTGGGGTAGGGTTGAAGCAACTCGCCCTGACTGAATTACTTAGCACAGTAAGAAGTATTTCAAGTGTTTTGCCTGATTCCAGAAGTGTTACCTTGCAGCAGTGTGGCTTGTCTTCTTGCACATGGGCAAATCAAAAGGGGCTGTTCACGACGGCTCGCGAGGGTTGTTTGGAGGCGGATGTCATCGCCGGCTGCAGTTCCAAATTGTGCGCCTCTATCTTTTTGACCACAGCTGGCTACGATATCCATGCTACTGGTGCCATTGCGAATGCTTGTCACATTCGGGTCTCGTTGTTTTGTTTATGAGAAGTTTCAACACCAAGGCCTCAAGCACAAGTTTCTCGTGACATGCACAGTGATGTATGAACACCAGCATTGCAACTGTCGGAGGCTCCTCCGGTGGTTCAGCCAACTGTGGAAAGCAAGGCAGAACGCATAGAACAGGCCGGAAGGGTTGTTGGCCGTGTGAGAATGGCGCTTTCATTCCAAACGAGTTTTGAATAGGCTCGCCGGGAGCGCCTCAGCACAGGACTCAAAGAAAAACGCATGCCTTGTGGAGAAGCATTGGAATGCCGAGCGTGCTCAGGTGCAAAGTTCACGGAGAAGTGGGATTTGTGCTACGCCTTTTCCAAGCATGGCTCCTGCAAAGACAAGAACTGCCAATGGAGGCGCTGTAAGTCAGCTTTTGGTTTTTAGCATGGTTTTCTTCCAGCAGGGCCATGGCCAGCGCATGGGCAGGCATGAGCTGCCGAAGAAGGAGGAGACCAAAGAAGCAAAAGAGGTCAAGGATGCCAAGGAGGCCAAACCAAAGTCTCGGCCTCGAGTCGAGAGGTACGAGAGTGGTACGAGCAACAGCTGTTAACACTGTTCACTCACGAGGCAAGGAGGAGGACCTGTTCTCAGACATCCTCAGATATTTCTTTCGTCATGTTGCATCCAGCACTCATGATGAGTTGGCTGAAGCTGTCCAGGAAAGAAGAAGTCCAAAGCCTGAGCAGAGGCATCAGCGGCTTCCACCGGCAGCTGGCGGCAGCAGCATCAAAGAACAGCACAGCAAAACGCTGTAATACAATCATGGACAGGCAGCAAGAACTGCAGTGTAGCCTCTATGCCCCTGTGAAACAGGGGACCCAGGCATGCGTCGAGCAAGATGCCTTGACCGCTTGAAAAAACACAGCATGCGTCGAACCATTGTCCACCCAGGCATCTTTCGTGTCGAAGCCACTTGCATGCTGATGGCAGTGAGCTACCTGTTGGTTTTTCCTAATCGCAGGTTACAGAAGACATGGAGCAAGATGCGGCAGGACAAATCGTTACACGATGGAAACACCACTACAGATGGCCAATCGACAGCAAGAGTAAGTGACGCACCCTCACATAATGATGGCTAGGTGTGATGTCCCATTCCAAAGATGGTCAGCACAACAGTAGCGGGGGAGGAATCAGAGTGTAGTACGCATGATGAAGACGATTGGGCAAGTTGGGGACAGCTGCGCAGCCTGCAACGCTGCATGAGGCAGGCAACGACAGAGGCGCGCAGAGCAGGTGCGACCTGCATTCAGACCAGGCCTGGTGGCTATGGCTACGGCTATGGAGCAAGCCGTGACGAAGAGACCAGCAGCGAGTCAAGCAGCGAATCTGAGAGCAGCGATAGCATAGCATCTGAGGCCAGACCCGGGAGTGCTTGCCACGTCCTAGTTCCATTGGTGATGCTCTGTGATGCTTATGCTGCGCTCTCTGCATGCGGAATGGCATGTCGTTTGTGTTAATGGGAAGGTTTGTTGTACAAGAAGTACAATAGGAAGTTGAGTGGCAACGCAGCCTTTAGGCCCCAATCTTTTAGGTGCCTGCTGTTGCAACATGCCCTGGAGCATCGTCACTGCGCGTCCGCAAGTACGAATGATTTAGGGGTAGGGCCGGGGTCATGCTGAACATGGGGCGACTTTCTGCCTGTGGAGGTCGAAGTGGAGAGCATTCCCAAAGCACCTGAAGCTGTCAAAGGCGCTTGCAAGGGACGTCTTGGGCAGCGTAGAAGGTCAGAGGCGCGTAGAGGCTCACAGAGGCGCAACATGTAAAGTCATGCGGTACTCCAGTCCGAGGAAGCACTGAGACTTTGCCAAAACGGCGGAGCGTCACGTTCAAAGAGGAGGTCACAATCGAACCTGCACTTGTACGTCTGGATTAAATTGGATCAACACCGTTTCTGGAATTTCGGCATGTCATCTTCAAGACTCTTAAGTCGGCTAAGCAATGCTAAGCAGGTCTTGATCCTGACAGACTCGGCCCGTGAATTCACGAAGCTCAGCGTCAGACAAGGCACACTCAGAAAGCGCTTCAAGGCCAGAATTGTAGCTTGCGTGTGGCCGCCTCGGCATCTTCTGTCACAGATTTTCACAGGAGCCCCCACCTGCTGGAAAGCTCGTCAGCGCTGAACTTACCCGGATTGTCTGCCTGAGCACTTCCTTCCGTCATAAGAGCTGCCTCCGACATAGGAACCAATGAGGGTGGCAGAGTTGCGCCCTCGAGTTTTGTTGGATCATCGTCATTATACTTCTTATGCACTGTCAAGTGTCGGTACATGATGGTAACGAACATAGATGGCAGATCCATTTGGCAAGGCACTCAAATCCCCACCTCCCGAGAGAAGTTTTCTCGGCGAGCCGACAGAGATGCCAAGCTACTGGGCATGTGGATTCATACATGCATCCTGTTCGCTCTCTGTTTATGGCAACGTATTGCTGGTGAGGCCGGTGTTGTTGTTCACCGTCGCAGGCCTGAAAAAAAAGCGGAAGCCGCAAGAATCGAAGGCAACCTCGGGAGCAACTGGGAGCTGCATCAGAAGCTCACTATCCAGACTGACTTTGCCGGCCGAAGTTGTTGTCTCACCAATGGATTCCCTGAGTGTTGCAGACTCCATTATCTGTGCTCCAAAGTACACCACGTACGCGGGATTTGGAGGGATCAGACCAGTGAGAGTCGTGTATTGTCTAGTAAATTAAATATCTGTTGCTTTGAAGCTTCAGGTGTCAGAGGATGGTCGAAAAAAGAGAAATCGAAAAGAGAAGAGTCGAAGCCCTGATGGCTCAGCTACAGGGCCTCGGGCTAAGGAGCAGCTGGAATTTCATTCCTGCCCAGCCTGTAGTAACTCTAGCTGTATTATCGCTCTGGGCTAGGGAATGTTTACTCAAGGCCGCAAAGAGATGATACAGCCAATGCGGCGAAGGACCTCGTGCCTTTGGACGCGGGACGGAATTGAATGACACCATGAGTAAGCCAGCATAGTCTTTGCAGGAACAGATAGTAAGAGAGGAGCCGATGGCAGACGCAGACATGCTTCCTGGTTGCATGATGTTGCATTTAGCCGCGCTGTTGCTGGGCGTGTGTGCTGGTCGCCGCTAGCCCCAATGCAGGTCGCATGTGCACCTGCAAATCCAAAAGCCGAAGGAAGATGGCGAGTCAATCCAAGAGAGCATCCAGGTGGAACAGAGCAGCTGCGTCGCAAAGTAACAGCCCGCATTGCAACTGAACAGTACGTCAGGAGGAGAAAAGTACAAAGACAAACAATAATGAGAAGAATGACCATGCGCAGTTCGGTTCCTGGATGCGAAATTTGTCACGGTGAGCGACAGCCTGACAGCCGCAGCCCTGAGCTCTCCGCGCACTTAGGCGGGGACTCAAGGAGAGGGGCGAGAGTGGCACGCGGGGCATGCAGCATGTCAACGTCGTGCCAGAGCAGCAGGCCGGGGTTGCCAATGGAAGTATCACAGAGTGGGCAAAGTGCGGCGCAAGCCGCCAGAGCCAAGGGTGCAGAAAGGCATAAGTCCAGACAGCAATGCTCGCAGCCAGGAGAGACGTACAGAGGATGTTGCTGACCCGTCAGCTAGCCCAGCCGTCGCTGACGAAATTCTATTGAGGAGGGGGGGGGGGATAGCACAGGGGATCAAGAAACATATCCAAACTCATTGCGGGTCGTCCCATTGCAGGGCACGGAAAGAATCAAAGAATAGCAAACGAAATGAGCTTGATAAGCATCAGAAATATGTCCAGCCAAAGTCCCATACAAGGTTGCCAGACGACTATTATTGAAACCCACACAGGTTTCCCATCAACAAAAGTTAACACAATTTAACTAGACAAATTAAAGCAAAATCCACACTTATCTGTCTTTGAAAATGCTTTGGAACGTAAGTCAAGAAACGAAGGGGAGGTTAAATGGCGTTGCCAGTGCTTTGCTTCTGAGTTAATGATTGGGTTTCGTGCATCGCCTTCTTCAGAGCTATGGTTGGTGTAGAAATGATTTCAAATTCAAATGTTGCAACATTAAAGATTGATGGTGTCTTGTGTAGTTGTTGTTTGCTGGTTTTGGCTATGCTGTTGCTCTTCGAGCTTTTTGATTTAACGTGACATTGTTTTCTTGTCGTGCACAGTTCCTTTCTGCTGAACCTCCAACTCTAACCTGCATGGTGGCTAGTCTGCTTGCGGGTGGCAAAAAACCGAGGTTTTCGCATTCAATTGTAGAGACGCATTGCTTGCCTAGGCCAAATCACGCAGCCCCTGCTGTGTTGATGCCCACTTCGGCACAATGCTGTGACCACGTGCAGGCAGCAGAACCCACCACTTTCCACGCTTTGTTGCCAGGTTTGGGCCTCCATGTGAGTTCAAGAGGGGCTTGTTGTTAATATCTAAAGTAGACATAGGTTGGCAAAGGACCGTTGACACACAAATCCATGCCCCGTGATGTTTAGATTATAGATTCGGACAAAGAGTTTCAGCAGACAAGCTGGCAACACACGTTGTCTCTGAGCCCTATGCTCCAGCACTTGGCTCTCATCCTGCTGGAGGCATGAGTATCATGAGTGGATCGCGGTGATGAGGATCCTGTTTTGTTCGTCGGCTGTTGGCCTTGGAATCCTGGAAGTGTTGCTTGTATTGCAGCTCCTGCAGCTGCTGACTGCTTGGGGAAGTGGGGTGCGGTGAGGATGCTTCCGTGTTGGGATGGGCTGTGGTAAGGGCGACGTGGCTTCCAATGTCGCTCCTACTTGGCTCCCTTTTGCTGGCTGCTTGAATGGGTCATGCTGGGTCGCAGTGATGAGAGCTGTGATGCTCCCAGGTCTCGACAGCAGCAAGCAATAATTCGGGTATATTGGGGGACTGGCAGTCAGAACCCCGAAGCACCTCAGACGAGGGTTTGAGAGTTCCCTGGACATGTTCCGAGCCCGTACTGCATGGGCAGTCTATCGAAAGGCTTCTGTTGCTGAACCATCGCTGGAGAAGTTACATCATGGAACCTTGTGCCTCCAGGCTGTGTCGGAAGAGACAAGTCAGGAAGAAAGGTGCGGTTGACAGAGTTGATCGTCTTTGCACTCTGAAATCGTCGCAAGGCCAGGCCCCCCTTCGAAGAAGGTGCGGCGTGAGCATTGGGTAAATGCTTGCCCTGCATGCCCTACACACTCTGTCCGGCGTTTCTGTGCTCTGCCTCAAGGTGCCCTGGAACCACGAGAGGTGGGGTTTTGCCGAGCTGCTTGCCCAGAAAAAGTTTCACTTTGGCCAGGCTGCAGCACGCCGACTTAGAGGACTGCCTCATTGCATGGGCCATCCATGGACTGCGTCAAGTCGGGACATCAGCCAATGTCTCTTGCTGCAACTTCCGGGATATGGCTCTAGACACCTCGAGACCATAGCCGTCAAAACTATTACATTAATCCAGGCTGCGCTTCTCAAATAGGTCGCGGTTGCTTGCGTCAGCGAGCGAGAGAGAGAGAGAGAGAGAGAGAGAGAGAGAGCGAGCTGCGGGGGGCAAAAAGCCTCCAGGTGAGTGGTAGATCCAACCAACGTAACGCGGGATCGGGGCGCGCAGTCTGCGCGGGGGGTTTCCCTCCATGCCCCAAAGAAAAGAAAGAAAGAACCCAAGCTATCGTGGTGCTGGACAGCCAAAGCCGCTCACAGGGGGAAGCTGACGGTGCAGAAGCAGAAGCAGCCGTTGCGGAGACGCCAGAAACGCAGCCATGGCCGCCGGCGAGGGCATGGAGAGCAGGCAAGCCACCAAGCGGAGAAATCACCGACATCACGGATGCAGAGAAAGAAGCTGAAGGGCTGCCGGGGAGATCCAGCTTGAGCACAGGGTATCGTGAGGGGACAGCAAAGAAGTAGAGAGGGGAAGACCGCAGTAGCTAGTGAGCAGCAATGCTGGTGGAAGCGTGGCCGGGGATAGGGAGAGGTCTTCGGGAAGGTTGTGCTCGTTGCGGTTGGGGGTTGAGGGAGGGATGGTTCAGGGCAGTACCGAAACCACCAGTAATGCTGACGGGGAAAGCAAAGCAACTCCTTGACGGGTGAGTAGACTGGGACGAGCTTTCCCGAATTTTCTTGTTTGGGGCGTAGCAGTACGGAAAAGGGGGAAGAAGGGGAAGCCGTCCGAAAACACTCCAGAGTCCATCGTGAAGCATCACACAGGACTGCAGGATCAGGGGGCGCCTCGAACGCGGAGGGCGTTCGCGCCCTTCATGCCCAGCAGCAGCAGAAGAAGAAGAAGAAGAAGAAGAAGAGGAAGAGAGCGAGAGAGAGAGAGCGAGAGAGAGAGAGAGAGGGAACCGAGACGCTTGGAGCGCGCCCTATGGGGCGGCCTCCTTCGGGGGGCTACGTGCTGCGGAATGAAGGAAGGAAGAGAGAGAGGGAGATGGATGTGGCATGAGCCTCAGCGGTCGAACTGGCTGTATGGAAGGAGCAGGAGGAGGTTTTGACCGAGCCTTTGCCATTTACATGCTAGTTGCAACTTGAAACACGCTGCCGCGAACCTGGCCCATCTGATGGATACAAAAGCTGCTGCTGCTGCTGCTGCTGCTGCTGCTGCTGCTGCTGCTGCTGCTGCTGCTGCTGCTGCTTCTTCTGCGGCAAGCCTACTGAGTTCACTATGGCCTCTGGTGTCACCGTAGGGGCACAGGCTTCCATGCCGTTGGCAAGGGCGCCTCCTGTGCTGTCCTCTTGTGTACCTTGCACATCTGCTGCGAGCAGGAGCCAAGAGCACGGGTAACATCCGACCAAGAGGCCACGCCCGTTGCCCATGCAATGTCGGGCCTTATTTAAGGTGACAGCACCATGTGTGGACTAGGCCAAGAAAGCTCCGACACGTGGGATACGACTTGCAGAGGAATGGAGGCCGAGACGGCCAAGTCTTGACGCCAAGTTTGATAAAGAAAAGAATAAAAGAGCTTAGCATCGCTGAGTGACTTAAAGTTAGCATCGGCTTTCTGAAAGCGCCTTCAGGCCGCCACCTCCACTTCTCCTGCCGAAGGAACGGGTCATGACATTACGGTGATGATGGGCCGCATGTGGCCAAGAAAGGTCTCGTGATATTGATCCTCATCACATCTTCACGTCAGGACATCCAAGTGTGGAATGCCTCTGAGTATCGCGGCACGGAGTTGAGAGCGAGAGCAAAGTCTCGCCAGCATCCCCAGCGGCAAGTTGAGGCCCGGGCAAGCAGGATCTGTCGGCTGTGTTGGGCACGTGTGGTCCTCCGCATGATGGTTGTGATGCTGCTGCTATTTTGGGAAGCTAATGTTCCTCTTGGCATGCGGCAATCTGCCTCTCTGCTTGAGTTAAGAGTACTGGCCACCGGGCCAACGCGTGGTTGTCATGGAATTCAAGGTTATTCAACGGCGTTCAACAAGTTTGTGGCGCCTCTGCAGTTTGCCCCGATGTTTCTTCTGAAGTTTATCCTCTTGCCATGATTTGTGAGAGCGATTCCGGAAGGCAAGCACTGTATGCCTTCCCATGCCACCTGCATGTCACTTCCAAGCCAAACAGAGCGCAGCTACCTACTGGGGCGTCAAGACACAACTTTTGGCACCCTCCTTCTATCGCGCTGTGAACTTTGCCACGCAAGATAGGGCCAGGATGGCCAGGCTTCCATGCCGTTGGCAAGGGCACCTCCATGCAGCATGCACCTCCTATGTGCTGTCCTCTTGTGTACCTTGCACATCTGCTGCGAGCAGGAGCCAAGAGCACGGGTAACATCCGACCAAGAGGCCACGCCCGTTGCCCATGCAATGTCGGGCCTTATTTAAGGTGACAGCACCATGTGTGGACTAGGCCAAGAAAGCTCCGACACGTGGGATACGACTTGCAGAGGAATGGAGGCCGAGACGGCCAAGTCTTGACGCCAAGTTTGATAAAGAAAAGAATAAAAGAGCTTAGCATCGCTGAGTGACTTAAAGTTAGCATCGGCTTTCTGAAAGCGCCTTCAGGCCGCCACCTCCACTTCTCCTGCCGAAGGAACGGGTCATGACATTACGGTGATGATGGGCCGCATGTGGCCAAGAAAGGTCTCGTGATATTGATCCTCATCACATCTTCACGTCAGGACATCCAAGTGTGGAATGCCTCTGAGTATCGCGGCACGGAGTTGAGAGCGAGAGCAAAGTCTCGCCAGCATCCGCAGCTGCAACTTGAGGCTTGCTTCTATTTGTTTGACTTCGGTAGTTTGGCTTGGGGACTGCTGTCGTTGTTTCACTGCATGGCAGATGCTTGCACCTCTTTCATGCCAGGATGCTACTGGCGACTACACGGCCAAGTTGGTCCGACCCTCGTCGGCCTTCCACCCAATGCGCTGTCGCTGATTTGTCATTGTAGGCTGGGCTGCTCCGTGCCTTAGAAACAGACTTTGTCGAGCACGCTGCTCAGCTGCCGGCATGTTGGACACCGACATGTCCATGGACAACATGCGACACAGACTGGACAAGGCCTGCGGCTCTCCTGAAGCGATTCTGGGCCCAGCTTTCGATGGGCGGCGACCTAAATGAACAAAATCCTTTCCCTTCCCGAGATCATCGCACGTCATCGCACTACTTACCAGCATTCTCCAAGGCGAGCGTGCACGCTTCGTGCAGGAATTCCCGCAGTTCCTGTTGGACTCTCAGAGCGACCAAAAGGAGAAGATTCGTGCAACAGGCCCAAGACATGCAAAAGAAGTGATACGACGAGAATCAGCGAGGAAACGATTCAAGAAAAGCGAAAGCTCCAGCCTGTCATGGGTCGGGCCAGAAAAGGATTGTAAGCTGAGTGAAAAACTATGGAGTATAGCATTGGTGTATAACACCGCAGTGGTTTCAACAGGTTGTGGGTTCTTATATACTTTTCAGATGATTCTAGCAAAGCACGTCACCCTCAAGAACAGCTAGATTGCTGGTCTGCGATTCGACGGCTCTTTGGTTCAAAGCTTGGTTCAAGCTTGCAGAGCTTGAAAACCTTGCTTGAGGCGCCATTTGCCCGACGCGGCGCTTTGAACTTAGCAGCTTGTGCTTCGAATTTGGCACCACAAGCTGGCAAGATATCAACACGTGAACGCAGACCCAGGAACCATCAGCCGACTCACTTGAGCAGATGCTGACAGTGCCGAGGCATGCCGACGCGAGAATCGCGAGAAAACTGCGTCTTAGTTTGTCTTAAGTCATCGATAAGGACGGATGCTGCGCATGTTGAAGGGCAGAACTGCTGGGGTTTAATTTCGAGTGTTGAAGCGATGAGATAAGTCCTGTGCACCCGGCACAGAGCAAGCACTGAGCAAGCCACCTAAGCCTCTCAAGCAGAAGTGCCGGCTGCAAACGAAGCGGCACCTGTCGGTCAAATCAAATCCCAGCAAGTCTGATGAGCCTATAGAAGCCCGGTATCCATCAGTATCCGGTAGCAAAGAACATAAAAAAGGTGTCTCTCAACGGCTAGAGACAATTGCAGCTCATAAGGCCCTTGTTCATTGGGAATGGGAACGGTGGGAATAGCGAGCCCATGCTTGTCTCTCCAAAGAAGGAAGCCACATTTGTAGAGGGTCCCGCAGTGTTGAAATGGGCTTCAAAACAGTTCAAAACACCTCATGCCGAAGGCAGGGCTTTCCATGTCCGCCTGGCCTTTTGTGCTCGCCAACAGTTTAAGTCCCTCTGCCTTGTGTGCCGAAATAAGTGTCACAGGGCTCTGGCCAAAATCCTCCAGGAGTCCATAGTTATGCCAATGAACTTGCGCTGGTTCGATTTGGCTCACAGCCGCACAAGCCGCAAGGCTTCTGATGAAAGTTGCGGGCATGTCCACGGTCCAACGCGCATTAGTCGCAGCGGCGGTATCCCACAATGAATTACGGTTATTCGTCCCGTGACGGTTCCCCAAAGATTGAAAGAGTCTTCAAGTCTTTTAGCTTAGAGCCAACGTGATTTAGTCATAAGTCATAGTCTTCAAAGCTCTCCACCAGTTCGAGCAAATTGTCTTGGGCTCTTGTCCACGTAGAATCCAAGGGGGGTGAAAGATGGAGTGGCAACAGATGAAGATAACAAGAAAAAATCTTAATCTGCAATCATGAATGGAAAGCCTCCTGCTTCATAGTCTGCAACTTTGCGAGCTGCGACTAAATGTAAACAGCTGTAAACAACTGCAAGCAGACAACCAGTACATTTTCGCCAAACGTCACAAGGGCATGGGTGCTCCGCTCCAGCTTCCGGCGCGTAGTGCAGGTAGGAGGCATGCGGACCTATTTCTTTGGGCGACGGGCATGGATGACGGCAGACAGCTTCGCTCGCTTGTCACTGAGCTGGAGATGGCAGATGTTGTGCTTGGTGCTGGCATGGTGGTCTGTTTCTGCTGCTGTCACCATCGCAATGAAACAGACGGTGGGAAAGGATGGGAGCTACCCGTTTCCGTTTGCTTTGACAGCAATGACAAACGGCGTTTGCGGCTGGATGTCGGTCTTGGCATGCCGTAGCAAACGCACCAAACATGCGCGTAGGAACGGCTTGCGCGACTGTGCAGAGCTAGTTGGCGTGGGAGTGATGCAGGGGGTTGAGATCGGAATGTCCAACAAATCCTTGGAGTACCTGTCTGTGTCAACCCGAACAATCTTGAGCTCCTTGAGTGTCTTTTTCATGATGATGTCTGCGCAGCTGTGGGGTTTGGAGCAGCTCGATCGTCTTCGTATATGCAGCGCTTGCTTTCAGATTCTCGGTGGGTTGCTCCACGCAGTGGGTGCTTCACATGACAGTGAACACTCGGCAGGCATCCAGCGTTACTGGTATGGAACGCTGCTGCAGCTAGGCACCTTGGTACTGGCGTCACAACGCTGGGCCATACTTCAGAATATAATGCAGAAGTCTAAGCTTCACCTCGGTAAAATCGAGCTTGCTGCCTTCATCATGCCGGTAACCTCCCTGGTATGTTTGGTTCTGGCCATTATCTTCGAGCGCGATGCTTTCGACTGGACCTTCATGCGAGAAGCCGGATTGCCATGGACGGTTGCCTTTGTTGTCAGGAACTTACATGATCTTACCCGCTTGGACCTCTTGGATCCTCTTGGGATCGTTTTTTGCCAGAGCAGAGTACCAGGGGCATCATGCACGTCATGGGGTAAGTGCATGATATAAGTGCAGATGTTTCAGGCATGTGGCATCGGCATCCTGACAGTCGCCGAGCTTCGCCTGGCTCATTCTCCGATTTATGAAGCGCTTTCTGCGAAATCCGAGAAATCGTAAGAACTCAAGTGCAGTCTCTGTTTTCGAGTCCTGGCCCCCACCATTCTCCACACAAAAGTCCATCCAAGGTTCATATTTCCTCGGCTGTTGCGTTGCAGGTTCTGGGAACCTTGCATCAGATCCCCTTGGTGATCGCTGGAATCGTTTGGTTCCAGGATCCGGCTCCGCAGCTCCGAAGTACTTGCGGTTTATGCGGTTGCCCAGATTTATAATGTAAATCCAGGTTATTGCCAGCGACTCATCTTGCTATCGCAATTCAGCTTCTTCAGTTGTTTTCCCCGAAGCATCGCACTTCAAGTCCGGTAGATACATTGTGTGTGCCGCCTCTTTAGCCCAAACAGGTTGATGTGCAAAGCGCTTTGGGCTTCGCATGCTGCATTTCGGGCGCACTTTGCTATGCTCGTGCCAAGCATCTACCTCTGGACAAGCAGGAGCTCAACTGCCTATCGATTTATGTAAGCTTTTCTTGCAGACATCTGTCAAGTCTTCATTTAAGTTCAGGCTTTGTTTCCATTGCCACCATTGTCCATACATCCAAGGCAACGATCCTCAAGCTGCAGAGAGGAGTCTTCAGCTTGATGAGTAGTGCAACGGGCTTGCCAGAAATAAGCTGGTAGGGCCTGGTAGAATGTAGTAGGGCAGCGTGCCGTCCGATTGCTGTCCAAGGCTGCCCAGGACTAATATCAATATTCCACTGGCAAGATGAAAAAAGGTGGTCAACCTGCGCCCGTGGAAGATCCCGTAGGCCCTGCAAACACCGAAGAGAGTTTCACGGGCAGCAAAGTCTCCCAGCTTACACAGGCCACAAAGCCAGGTCCAGAAGAGGCTCCTTGCCCATTGCGAAAAGCAGCTGGAAATCGAATCCCTAAACACGATGATGTGAGACGACCTATGTTTGCGCACACATCGCAGAGGATAATGAGGACATGATTCCGATACCTCGCACATTCCACCATGGCAACCATGCCCTGACCCGATCGCTACGTCCGGGCCATTCAACCCCAAGTTTGCACCTTCGTCCCTTCATATGGCCATACAATTCTGCAGGTGGTTGGAAAATACCTGTGGAAGCTTGTCTAGAATGTTGAAACCTCACAATCATGTACAGTGAGTTTGGCACCAGCAGCCAAGCAATAGAGTCATATGTGTCGCGGTATTGTATGACGAATGATTCTGCCTCCTGGGAAGAGTGACGCAGGTCATCCACTCGTTTGGGTTCACTGAGGACAGGTGTTGGCATGCATTGAACTTACAGGCATGGGCCACGGCCGAGTCCAGTACGCCCACTGCGGGTTGCCAATCTACTGTCCTGGTTTGTCCGACGTTCGGCCAAGTGTGCATACACCCAAAGTGTTCACCGAACGCAGTCTTGTCGCTGCTGTTTGGCCCGAGGTGTAGCTACATGTAGCTATACATGTTAGCAGGGCATTCGTGGCGGAGCTCTCGTGAAGACCACCCGCCGCAGGAGGAACAGCACGATGGACAGATGAGACGACACGAGGCAGCATATGAGGCCACCTTTCCGCCATCTAGACAATGAGTTGCTCACGCACTTGCAGAAGGGAGTTGCCAGCCTGCGTGGATTGGTGGTGTTCTGGTTGCGAGTACTTCTTGTGACTTGCGGTGCCACGGGATTTGTCATGCTTGGAACAGGCATTGCTCTGGGAGCATCCTTGCACAAAGCTGCTTATGTAGTTGGTGGCTTTCTGGCTCTGTCCTACCTGGCCCTGTTTGTTCTTACGTTGGATGCTTGTGAGACCGTAAGCCTCATTCTTGATTTGCTGAACGTCTCGGACGAACACTCCAGGGAAGATATCTTGAGGCAGCTGCACAAATGCCAAAAGCAACGAAGCTCTGCAAGCTCGACAGTTTTTCCAGAAGCTGACTTTGACATCATTCTACAGCAGACGCTACAGGATTTTCCGCGCAGGTTGAGGTTCTGCTTAGTAAAATCTTTGCAACTCGGACCAGCCATGGCAGCTGCAGTATCTTTGTGCTGCATGCTATGCATAATATTTCTGGAAGACATTCCTGCGGAAGTTTGCTCTTTACCCGTGGTTTCGACAAGCCTCCTGGCAATCAGCGTTTTGTTTGGGTTTCAGGTCCAGCTGAGAGCATCCCCACTGGTCAGGACTATTGCAATGGACGAATTCGGCAATCCACCATGCAAGCTGATAGAGCTCCACACTTTGCAGCTCCGAAGGCGAGTGGCTGCAACTCCAGAAGGCCGCGTGCTCAGTCCGGGGTTGGGGGTTGGGCAAACTCCGTGTTCTTGATTCAGTCATGCAGTGGTTGGGATTGGTCATGATTGGTCAGCCCCTGTTGATGAAGGTCGAGCAGACGCAAGGCACAAGCTGGCGGCAGCGGTGAAGATGCCCAGAAACAGCGTATTGCCGGCTGTCGAGATGGCTTGGCTAGCTGGTCTGCCAGATGATGAGCTTGAAGCTTGCATTCTGGAATACCTCAGAGCGGTGGCTCTTTTGTGTGATCTGGCCCAAATCGACACAGCGATTCAAGAAATGAACCCTCTGCTACCGAAATCCAGCCTGAGTGAGGCACTCAAAGCGCGCGGCCGAATTCACCAGCTGACCGAAAGGATGAATCGCAGCCTTGCAGCCTTGGATATTCTTGACCTGCGGGCATCAATCGAGGAGTGTCAGAGGGAAGGTTGGCCGCCAGAGGCTTTGCAGCCAGCCATCACCACTAAACAGGTCATTGAAGACTTATTGGCCAGGTTGCTGAAGGCGACCAAGGACACAGATATTCAACAGTTGGATGCCATCATTCATGAGTGTGAAGACTTCGGCCTGCCTGATCGGGACTTGCATGACGCGCGGGCAAAACGAGAAGAATGGGAAAACTTATTGCTGTCCCTGCAGACGGCAGTTGCCGAGAAAGATCTGGACAAACTGAATGATGCAATCCGCGCCGGTCAGGCTCTTTGCGTGAAACTGGACACCCTACAGTAATTCAAACACACACGACGTTGTTCCATGTCCCTGCACAGGCACTGAAGATTGAGAACTCACGGCTGGCAGAAGCGTTGGCAACAAGGGACTACGTCCAAGGGCTCTTGAAGGACTGAAGAAACTGTCTGTCTGCTCCGTCCAGTTGACAAGGTTGCGCTGCTGACTGTACTGCATTTGCACGCATGCTCCAGAAAAACTGCTGATGCAGGAGCTGAGCGTGGCCATGGAAAAGCGTGACCTGGAATTGCTAACAGAGGCAATCAAACAGTGCAGTGCGGCCCGAGTCCGCTCACAATACCTTCAGCAGGGAGCAACTCTGAAGCAAGAGTTGGAGGAATTATTGGCCAAGCTTCAGGACGCAGTCTGCGCGCAAGACCTTTCCCGAGTCAACACGAGCATCCTGGAATGTCAGCAGGCAGAGGTGCCACCAAGGTACCTAGAGAATGCGATCGCACAGCAGAAGCAGTTGCAAATGCTCATTGAGACTTTAGCACATGCTTGCCGAAAGAAAAGTATCGAGGCGCTTGAGAAGGCCATAAAGGACAGGTTGTTGGCAACGAAAGTCTTCTTGCCAAAGCTCTTTGTTGATTGTGTTTGACTCTTGAAGCCATGGATGCATTCAGGACTGCAGTGCGCAGCGGGTTCCTCAACAATATCTTGATGAGGCCAAGTGAGTTCCAAAGCGCTCTGCATGTTTCAAAACCAGTAAAAACTCAGCAAACTGCTATCACAACATATCACAACTATCACACCATCTGGGAAGGCCTTGGAAGTGAAGCACACGATCTTCGCTTTGCGCGGCGATCTCAAAGCAGCCATCGATTCCAAAGACGTCCGCTTTGTCGACCGGACCATCCAGAAGTGCATTGATTTTGGTTTGCCCTCCAACGACCTAGAGCATGTCCAGAAGTGCAAGAGCAAAATGGACGTGATGGTGCAGTCTTTACGAAATAGCAGCCGGATCAGAAATGTGTTCTGGGACTTTTGTTGCGGGACATCTTTATATATCTTTATCCTGTTTTTGTTTTGTCGGCAATATTCTGAGGTATAGACCAGCGAGATTTGGCCGGAATTGGCGTTGCCCTGCGACATTGTGAAGACTTTGGCTTGAAAGCAGATGAGGTAACAGAAGCTAGACAGATGAAGGCCACCATGGAAAAGCTGCTGTCACAGGTAAAGGCTGCCATGGATGCAAGGGATGTTATGGCTTTAGAGGTTGCCATTGAGCTTTGCCAAGCTGCCAAGTTGTTTGACAGAAATGTGGATGAGGCTGTTTCGCTGAAGCAGGAGCTGGATGACATACTTGCTAAGGTACACTTGGCCATGAAGCAGCGGAATGCTCGTGACATTCGGTCAGCTATTCAAAGCTGTGCTGCCATGGGGATACCGGACTTGTATACAGCAGATGCTCGGCAAATGCTTGAAGAACTGGAGACCCTGTTTGCGCGACTACAGCAGGGTGTGTCGAACAGAAAGATAGAAAGTCTTCGGAATGCCATTAGCGCATGTCGGGCTTTCGGTGTTGCAGACGAAGAGATGGAGGAGGCCTTGAGCATAGCAGAAAGTATCGAAGAAATTCTGGCATCGCTGTCCCTCGCAATGGAGAGTCGAGACATACAGGCTCTCAACAAAGCTCTTCAGAAACACCATGAGGCTGGCCTGCCACCTAGCCCAGACTTGGACTCTGCAATAGCGCTGAAGCGCCGAATTGAGCAGATGTTGGCCCGGCTTGGGGTAGCCGTCCAGCTTCTGGACATCCGAGTTCTAAAGGCTGCCATAGCCGAGTGTCAATCGGCTGGCCTCCCAGACCATGATTTACATGAGGCACTTCTTGCGAAAGAAAGCATCGAGCGCATGCTTCATCAGCTGCATTTGGACTTGTTGAACTTAGCGATTGCACATGTTGAAGCTCCTGATGCCTGCAAACCCACACTGGCGTCATTCCGGGGCTCCGAGGTTAGCCACACTCCGCTTCTCCATCGACTGCAAAAACATGTCCGGCATAGAGGCTGCGATAAAGGCCCCGTTGAAGATCCAAGCCAGCTAGGCTCAGCTAGGCTCAGCTAAGCAGCTGCATGTTGTTGAATTTCGTTGCGTTCTGTGCCGCAAATTGCCCTGAAAGGACTGTCCCATCGATTTGCTGCGCGCAGCACTCGAAGAGTGCCATGCGGCTGAAGTTCCTGGCGACGTTTTGCAGTCCGCACTGCGGTCTAGAGCGGCCGAAAGCGAAAGCGAGTCAGATCGCCGGCTGATCTACGAGGGGCAAGATGATGAGAAGCGGCTAGCACATAACAAAGCAGTTAGCATGCTAGATGAGTCCATCCGATCTGGTAATGATGTGCCTCCCGAGTTCGAGGAGCTGATGAACGAGTTAATTGTGAATCACCTCTTGTAGCTTAAGCACATGTCAGCTCCACTGAGCGAAGCTGGCAAGCTGTTTCACTCGGATTGTACGGCCGTCAAGACAAGTGCCACAAAGGTGTGATTGCACAGCATGATGCATGTGCGCGTGCGTGCGTGCGTGCGTGTGCTGCCAAAGTTTTGCCCATTTTGTGGGCTCTGTAGGGCGGTTTCGGCGAGTTGTCCGGGTTATCCGTTCCCATGCCATGACCGCTTCAAGGATCTCCAAGGTCTGAGAAGCAGTGGACTTGCAGCCTCTATCGCGAAAAAGCACATAAAAGCACAGCCATCAGAAGGCGAATCGGCTTCAGGTCCAGTCGCAGATCGCAGGCCTTTGGAGAGGTGTAACGGGCGCTCGTCAGAGATGGCGAAGAGCATGAGATAGCATGAGCCGCAGAGAGATCCTCCGCGACAGTCCCCAAGCAGTGCTTGCCATGGGGTTCCTGGCCAGGGAATTCGCACAGGAACTTGATCACCTTCTCAGTCGTTCCTGTGGGCTCGGACGGCCGCCCGTAAACGTCAGATGGCATCCAATCATCCAAAACATCACAAGTAGCATGGTTTTGGCCTCGCGGCAGGTGCCAAATCTTCGTGGTCAAAATCGTGCTCTCCCGCCCGTTGGCTCCCCTCCGCGCAATTTTTGACTTGCGTGTCGCGAGAACGTGGCTCAGGAAAAGAAGCACATAGAAGCACCTCAAACTCCCTTCCCTGCATTTTAGGCTCTTGGATGGGTTGGCTCTTCGGTCTGAGGGGTTGCAAATGGCGCTCTCATGCCTCGGTCCGGTATACCGTGAACAATTCTTGGGAATTGCGGTGCTTGGAGTGGTTGGAGTTTGGGGGTCATCTGATGCTTTTGGCAGGCGCTTGCGGGGCTTTCGGAGTGCGCTCGGCTCTTTTTTGGAATGGTTTTGACTGCCTCACTGCCTGACACAGCACCAGGACCGTGACATACTACGTGCGGGACGTCACCGAATCTCGCAGATACCGCTGAGCCAACAGGATGGGGAGGACACACTCATCACAAACTGCCAAGGTCACTTCCGGTCCTTCAAGAAAGCCGGTCCCAAAGAAGCGACCTGATGGTCAGGTATCATGGTGCAGGTCGAGTTGTAAGTTGTGACCGTTTCTTCGCCACTCTCTGCCAGCGTGGAAAGGAGTGCAGGTAGACTGGTCCAACAGTTTTGGTTCTGATGTGTCAACGAGTTGTCGTATGGCGAAGTCGGCGAAAGTAGGAATTGTTACGGGGTGTCTGATGTTCCCTGATTCAATGATATCTTATACATGCTAAACCCAAACCCTCAGAACCGACACCCCGAACTGCAGAATTCTAAGCTGTTAGCGGGATACGCTTTGGGGGCCATTATTGGGAAGAATGAATCAGCCCTAAGGCAGCGCGAGCGTCAGAACCCTGCAACAAGAGCCCTACCTGCCAAGCTTGAATCCATGCCCGTGCCATGCGCGAGGGCGAAGTTCAAGCAGGTGCAGTGAACACTTGCTACACATTTCGTTTGCACATCACAGGGTTAAGTTCTAGTCATTGTGTTTCTCTGAGGCACTCGCATCATCAACGGAGATTGTTTCCTACACGAAGAACAAAGGCCCTAATGCAAGGCCCTATCTCGAACAGCCACGAAGTCTTTCCATGGCAGGACTTCTTGTTGCTCATCTTTAAGCCTGTCAGCCGTGTTTTTCGAACTGTAAGCCACACATGCAGCAACACGCCGCGCATGGTGGTGTCACTCGCATTTCTGGCGCTCCTGCTGACAGTGGCTGCGCAACTTCCAGCAAACAGGCTGGGAGCCATCTGACTATTCACAGAGGCCTTTCTCCCCTTTCTCCAGAAAGCCGACTGAGCCACCCTTAAAAGAAAAAAACTAAACATCGAAGGGTTGAAGGGTTCCGGGATGCACTTCCAGGAAACCTCATTTGCTCGTTTCACAGTGATTCCCAAATCGATACCGCTGCGACTTTTCGGCACAGCCTAATGTGGCGCCTGACCATACCTGACCCATTTCTATCCCATTCCTCCTGCATGGTTTCGGGCCCTGACAAGCCTTTTTGTCAGTTGCAAACTCCGACAACAGCAATTTCTAGATGTTGCTACGATGTACTCAAGACTATTCAATCCGTAAAATGTAAACCCTGACCCGCAGTCAGGGCTTTCATCTGTTGTTAAGAGCAGCAAAGAAATTAAAACGTATGGTTACAGCACATGAGATGAGTCGCCAACTATAGCGATAGCGCGATAGCCAGTACACACAAAAGAAGAGAAAGCGAGGCCCCAGAATTGTTAGTGTGATTTGACTATATTTGACTATGTCATCGGAAATCTTCGGGCACCTGACTATTCTTCTGTTTCAAAAGCAGCCCTAAGGTGGGTCAGTGTAGGACAGCTTTTCGAATTTCGAATTCTTGCAGGAGTGCGGATGGCACATGTGGGTATGCCGCGAACAGCGACATCGGGTGGACGGGCAACCGGCCAGCATCAATATGGGGCCGAGAGCATAAGTTTCGAGCCATGGGGCCTCTAATCTAGCACGCTGCTGCAGAAGGCACTTGTGGTGTCGTTTTCCTACGCCGGCTACCACCGCGCTTTAGAAGAATAAGACTTCTGCAGAGGAGGGCCCCTGGCATGTTTCGTAGGTTTCAGAAGTCTACAGGGAGGAGGGTGGGGCATGGTAGAAGAGTGTAGAAGTTCTTGAAGCTGGTGGGTCGAACTATCGGCCGGGCGCAGTGCCGGAATATGCCGGAATTCGGACACCACTACGCTCTCCATTGTTGCCGTGGTTCTTAGTTTGCTTGTCTTAACACACTAGCAAGATACGGTGGGCGACAGAAATTAGCGCTGCCTGGCACCCATGAAAAACCAACAGGATCCGCGGCGCGTAGGCGCCTGTGTAGCGAAACAAGAGTGACATGCACGAAACACTGGCAGGCGTGGTAGTTGCAGTGCTAGGGCTGAAATGTCGGGCTTTGGGCTTCGCTGCCAAACTACCTGTTCATGCAAGCTGTCCTGCTTCGTCTCTGTCGTTCACCATATGCTGGAGGGATTTCATTATCGAGAATTACCACGCGCCGCAGGCCAAGTACGGGCTGCTGAATCATCTGTGCTATGTAATTATGCAGTGTACGACTCTGCTTCCTGCCAAGCCATAGCAACTGCGAACACAATTCCTGAAATGTTGTGCCTGCAGCTCCTCAATCGTTCGTCCTCGTTGCAATTGAAACCCAACAAACGGAACCACGTTGGGGGATGATGCAAATGCCACAGAGGCCACAGAGAGGAATACCATGATGACCCCGACGATGGCGGGAGAGAGGGGTGTGGGGACAGGGAGATGGATTTAGGTACCCCTTTGTCTGGCACTCACCTATTCCCCGCCCCAGGGAATCCAGAGAACCCAGAGAGATAGAGAAGTAGGTTTCTCACTGCCCGAGATGACGAATCAGAACGTTGCCCATATGCAACGTAACCTCGCAAATACCATGGTACCGTGATACTGCAAATAACGTGGTGCCCGCATTCCGCACTTGCAAAAAGCAAAACTGTGATACCCGATTTCCACGCCTGCAAACAACCTCGTAATATCGTGGTAATGGAATCTGCGGCTGCAAAGTGATGGAGCTCCGTGGCTGACACCCTCGCGAGTGTCCTTGGGATGGAATTCCTCTACACCAATGCCGATAAATAGCAAAAGATGCCCTTCTAAAATGGTTGTTGGTTTCTACGGGCATCCCGTTGCAAATCCTATGGTTCATAAAGAAGTTATTCCATGAATGGCTTCAATAAACTAGATGTCCCAAGCGCACAGATCTTTCGCAACAATCCTATCGCCTTACCTATCCGACTGAAGCCTTGCCTGCTTGTGCGAGTGTGAGAGTCGAAAGTCGAAAGTAGTTCGCCATCCCAAACCTATGTGCCTTGTTAAACTGTTAAAGCTTCGATCGGTATGCGTAGATGCTGCCTGTCGCTTAATATGGAGACTCCTATACCCATCCTATATGGAAAAGAGGTAGCTCATCAGCCGCTCCCGGTTTAGATCTTCAGCCTTCGGCTGCGGCTTCCAGGCTCCGAGACCGTGAGTTACGTGGGCATGGTGGATGGGCCCCAGCTCTGCTGTGATGCCTGCTGGGCGCGGGTTCAGGACGATCCTCCTTGCTCCTCAGAAGAGTTTGGAGCTTTCTTCTGGCTTGCGGGGGGCAAGGCCGGGCAAGATGCTGGGACTGAGGTGTGGCCTGGGTGTGGATACATGATGGCCACTGCTATCAGAAGTACACCGGCGAATTCCCGGTGGTGCAATACTTCGATCGGTCGACCAGTGATGCCGGCCTCCTACTAACAACAACCACCACAACTTTCTCAATCGCAGCATCGACTACGAACTCAAGCACCACAGATACCACCACAACATTGAGCAGGACAACTAGTTCCACATCCACCAGCACGACCACATCCAACACAAGCACCACGGATACCACCACAACATTGAGCACGACAACTAATTCTACATCCACAAGCACGACCACATCCAACACAAGCACCACCGACACCTCCACAACATTGAGCACGACAACTAATTCTACATCCACAAGCACGACCACATCCAACACAAGCTCCACGGACACCACCACAACATTGAGCACGACAGCTAATTCTACATCCACAAGCACGACCACATCCAACTCAAGCGTCTCGGATACCACCACAACATTGAGCACGACAACTAATTCTACATCCACCAGCATGACCACATCCACAACGATCTCTTCCAGTTCGAACACTACAGCGAGCTGGACACCAATGCCATGGACAACGACCACCACGTTCATGACCAGCAGCACACCCACATCTACCACTCTTTCTGATACCACTATGACCACATCAACGCTTTCAAGTACGGCTTCTAGCAGCACAACTGTCTCTTTCACGCGGACCTCTTCAACTTCCACTTCGCACACGCGCACTTCGAGCTCGACAACCACCTCCAGCATCTCCTCCTCTCGAAGCAGCACTTCGACTTCGAGATCCACGTCGCTTAGCAGCACCTCGGTGTCAAGAACAACTTCCTCTTTGACGACTACATCTTCGACCACGTTCACACGCACTTCAAGCTCGACAACGACCTCCACAATATCCTCCACGACTTCAAGCTCCACGTCGCGTACAACAACCACTTCCACAAGGACAGCCACTTCCAGTACCACCTCGAGCACCTCTCGGTCTTCTTCGACCACCTCAAGCACCTCATCCACTTCCACCACCTACTCCAGCTCCTTGTTTGCAGCGTGGTAAACCTGGTAAGTCGGGTAAGTTTTTCCCCATCCTGTCCCACTATGCAACCCAGGCACTGCAAAACCGGAAGGTCGAAAGACGTCTGCGCTCCGAATTCCATTTCAAACTCCTTTGTTTGATTCGTTTGATTCTTCAGGCGAGGGGCTTTCACAGTGCTCAGGGACTGTCAAAATTTGCGCATCTGCAACAGAACCTGCAAGTCCAAAGCATACGGGAACAAGTCCTCACGGCAAGCATGGTATGCTGAATGTTAGTGGGTTTTACGAGGTTCGACTTCGACCAGCACCAGCAGTTCCAGAACGCAATCGACCTCCAGTTCGGTGACCAGCTCAAGCCTCACGGCAACAGCGAGCTCCACCACGACAAGGAGTCGCAAAGAGTTGGCAGGTTCGTACACTAAGATACTAAGAGCCATTAAGAAACATTCCATACAGACATACGTCGGCAATGCACTCACAACCACAGTAAAGCATGACAAACGCAAGCTGTTGCAAACTACATACAGCCCTGCGTGACAGATGCACTCTTTTTCGGCGGAACATCGGCAAGCGGCGGTAGGTCTTGATCTTGCGCAACCAAAGTGGGCGCCGTCATGCAACCCCACCGATTTGGGCGGAGTGGGCGGAGCCCGATAAACTTGCAACAAGGTTGCCACGAGCTTCGAACCAAACTCGCAGCAGGCGCATGCGCTTAGTGTACTGCCGGCACTCCTGCACTGCGAAGTATTGAAATTTGAGCGGTCTCCCGCTGTCTTGATAAAGAGGAGCTTCACCAGCTCTACGACAACGTCTACGTTACTGGACAATGTGGAGCTGCCGGCAGGCAGCTGAGCTCGAATCAGCTATCCATGGGTTCGGTGGGTGTCTAGAAGAGGGAAGGCGGGCTTCCATGCGATTCAGATTCCTGGAATGAAGGCTATTGCCAAACCAGTGGCAATGCTTTCAAGCATTCCTTATTACACTGCTTAGATATTGTATTGGAGCCGGCAGATGCATATAGTAGAAATATGTAGAAATAAGATAAGTGTACATGACAACGTGTTCGGCTCGATGGCTAGATGTGAAGCAGTGCTGTTGTACTTGGTGAACCATGTGATGATGTTAGATGGCAAAGCTAGCAGCTTGAAGAAGTAGGCGTGCAGTTGGCGCCCCATCTAGATCAAGAACCAGGACTTCCCCAATGAGAGTCCTTTCAGCCACTCATCCTCCCGAAAGGAAAAATGCTTCTGCATGCTCTACGCAACAGAAATTTGGAAAAAGCGCTGCAAGCCCCGTCAACTCCCGTCAACCCTTCGCCGCACCCCTGTGCAGGTCTGGTCGGGACAACGGCCGGCGAGGTGCTCACGCAGGCCCTGCAGGCGGCGGTCATGGCCGTTGGCCAGGAGACACGGTTAGTTGAGGGCAGACACGTTAGTTAAGGTGCCCTGAACCACGGGCCCCTGCATCGGGCCATGCCGAGGGGCGGGCTGCGAAGGCAATTGCCAGGCGGCACAAGGAATCAAACCAATTACATTGATTCATTTTGTTGTTTAAGACTTAATTCGTTTCCTTAAGCCTCCAGTCAGCAAATTGAGCCATTGAACTTCCTTTAACCAAGTCAACTTCAACAAGCAGAAAACCTTAATGGACTTAAACACTTTTTGCAATTCATTTGGTTCATTCGTTTCCTTTAATTCAGGGTCTACGGTTTTGATTCGTTACTTAACCTTCCAGAAAATACTTTACGTAAGTCAGTGTCTACAAAAACCACAATCCATAAAAACATTCGGTCATTCGGACATGTTTTTTAACTGATGCGACAGGTTTCCTGATATACTTGAATTAGTCGAATTTGCCTTACCATGATTGTACATGTAGTCTGGTTGAGGCTGAGCAAGAGGCAGAATAAAATAAAGGTCGAAAGTTAGCTAGTTCAACGCAATTTATTGAACTCTTAGAATAAGAAACTGAATCATGATTTTAATTCCTAGGAAGGCCCATTTTACGTGTTCTTGTCAAATAATTAGCCTCATCAAAGTAATTCAGTTTAATTTTTAAAGGATCGTGATTTGCTGAATTTAACGCATCGAATTCATTTAGCTTATTGTCTTCTAATTTGTTTCATACGTTTACTTCACCCTTCAGTAAACTAATTCCACAATGAAATTTTTAGCGTTAATTTCAGCAAACAAAAAGCCGTAATTAAATTAAGTACATTTTTAATGTATTTCATTGATTTGATTTAGTTAATTATTAGTCTCCGAACTTAAGTCATTTCCTTAACCCTTCAGAAAACTAATCAAACTGTTGAAATGGCTTCACTTATGTTTTTCAAGAAACACAAAAAACTTCCTTGAATTAAGTATTGTATTTGTGAACGAAGGCAATGAGCATGTTTAGTTCATCAGTTGGCGCTTAAATCAAGCACAGGCTTCCTCTTACGTATTATGTTTTGAGAAATGTAGTAAATTAACAAAGTTAATCATTCTCACTTGTGGTTCATTATTTTAAGGGGCTGCGCCCATGGGCGGGCAGCGCACGCAGAAGCCCGGCTAAACTCCCTTAAAATCTCTAAGCGTTAAGTTTCTAAGCATTTTCAGGCCCCTAAACTCCCTTCAAATCTCTAAGCGTTTGAGGCTCCTAGACTCCCTTAACGTTTCTAAGCACTTTATAAGGCCCCTAAACTCCCTTTTTCCTAGCCCCGGGCTTAGACACGTCGCTTATGCCCGCCCTTTGGGGGGCATCATGCTCCTGATGCGCCCCCGCGGTCCCGCCCCGGGAGCCGCTGATGCTCCTGATGCGCGCCTGGGGGTCCCGGGCTGGACCCGCTGATGCTCATGATGCGCGCCCTCTGAAGGCCTCCGTGGCGATGCAAAAAACCACGAAAAAAAAACCGTTCACCGGCGGCACGCGGGGGTCGGCGGCACTGGCGTCCGGCCTAATTCTGCTTCGCAGAAGGCCAGAGGCCAGCAAGGCTATTCCCGGGACGACCCGGGCTAAAAGGTCCGCATTTGCTCGGTCCTTTGGGACCTCGCGCTGCCCGATTTAATGGCTACCGCCAGTGCCGCCGACCCCCTCCAAGGGGGGCCAAGGCACTGTGGGCTCCGGCCGCGGATTATGTATAGGGAAGTGAGAGAATGGAAAAGTGGGGGAGTGAGGGAGCGAGGAAGCGAGGGGGGGTTGGGGGTGGGGGTGGAGCAGGGGCCATATATAGGACCAGCATTGGCAGCCATGCAGGTCGAGGGATGAAGAATGGGACCAGGAGCCATGTCCATGAGAAGCATGGCGGGGTGCGTGGGGGGCTTGGGCAAGAGGGGGAGTATGCGGAGCGGGAAGGGCGGATGAACGGGGGGGGATAGGGCAAGCGGGCCAAGCGGGGGAGGTCGAGGGGATGGAGAGTGGGAGCGTGCGCCAAGGGGGGAGTAGGCGGAGCTGGAAGGGCGGAGGGCGGACGGAGCGGGCGGAGCGGGCATGCACTGGGCCCGAAAGTCAGCTGAGAAGCCACATCCATGGGCCGTGGACCATGAGCCAATGGGGCCAGGAGCCATGGGTCCAGTGGGGGGGCGGGGTGCGTGGGGGGTGGGGGTGGGGGGTGGAGCCATGGGGCCAGGAGCAAGGGGCCCATGGCGGCGGGGCAGGGTGCGTGCGGGGTGGGGGTGCGGGTTGGGGGTGGGGGTAGCAGGGGCCAGAAAAAGGACCAGCGTTGGCAGCCATGCAGCTCAAAAAATGAAGAATGGGACCAGGAGCCATGGGGCGGGGGGCGGGTGCGTGGGGGTAGGGGCGGAGAAGCATGCGAGCCATGGGGCAAGGAGCCATGAGGGGCATGGGCGGCGGGGTAAGGGGTAGGGAGCTGGGTCCATGAGGGGTAGGTCAAGGGGATGGAGAGTGGGAGCATGGGCCAGAGGGGAGTAGGCGGAGCTGGAAGGGCGGAGGGGAGCGGGCGGAGCGGGCGGAGGGCCTGGGCATGTACTGGGGCCCTTTAAAGTCAGCTGAGAAGCCAGGAGCCATGGGTCCAGTGGGGGGCGGGGTGCGTGGGGGGTGGGGGTGGGTGGGGGGGCTGGGGGTTGGGGGTGGCAGGGTGCGTGCGGTATGGGGGTTGGGGGTTGGGGGTTGGGGTGGAGCAGGGGCCATATATAGGACCAGCATTGGCAGCCATGCAGGTCGAGGGATGAAGAATGGGACCAGGCGGTGCTCAAGAGATGGGTCCATGAGAAGCATGGCGGGGTGCGCGGGGGGCTTGGGCAAGGGGGGGAGTATGCGGAGCGGGAAGGGCGGATGGGCGGGGGGCGGGGTGTGGGTGGTGGGGGTAGGGGCGGAGAAGCCACCTGCTTGGGCATGAGGGGCAGGTGCGTGAGGGGTAAGGGGTAGGGAGCTGGGTCCATGTGGGGTAGGTCAAGGGGATGGAGAGTGGGAGCATGAGCCAGAGTGGAGTAGGCGGAGCTGGAAGGGCGGAGGGCGGAGTGGGCGGAGCGGGCGGAGGGCCTGGGCATGCACTTGGGCCCTTAAAGTCAGCTGAGAAGCCACATCCATGGGTCGTGGACCATGAGCCAATGGGGCCAGGAGCCATGGGTCCAGTGGGGGGCGGGGTGCGTAGCGGTGGGGGTGGGGGTTGGAAGTGTGGGTGTGTGGGGGTGGGGGTGGGGGTTGGAAGTTTGGGGGTGGCAGGGTGCGTGCGGAATGGGGTGCCCGCTCCGCCCGCTCCGCCCTCCGCCCTTCCAGCTCCGCCTACTCCCCTTTGGCCCATGCTCCCACTCTCCATCCCTTGACCTACCCTCATGGACCCAGCTCCGACCCCGCCGCCCATGCCCCTCCGCACCCTGCCCCGTGCTTGTCATGGGCCCCTTGTTCCTGGCGTCATGGCTCCACCCCCACCCCCAACCCCCACCCCCACACACCCCACCCTTTCCACACTTCCAACCCCCACCCCCACCCCCCACGCACCCCGCCCCCCCACATGGCTCCTGGCCCCATTGGTCCCATTCTTCATCCCTCGACCTGCATGGCTGCCAATGCTGGTCCTATATATGGCCCTGCTCCACCCCAACCCCCAACCCCCACCCCCATCCCGTACGCACCCCCAACCCCCAACCCCCACCCCCACCCACCCACACTTCCAACCCCCACCCCACCCCCCACGCACCCCGCCCCCCACTGAACCCATGGCTCCTGGCCGCATTGGCTCATGGTCCCATGGATGTGGCTTCTCAGCTGACTAAAGGGCCCCAGTCCATGGTCGGGCCCTCCGCCCGCTCCGCCCGCTCCCTCCGCACTTCCAGCTCCGCCTACTCCCCTCTGGCCCTCCCACTCTCCATCCCCTTGACCTACCCCTCATGGACCCAGCTCCCTACCCCTTACCCACGCACCCATGCCCCTCATGGACCCATGGCTCCTGGCCCATGGCTCCCCATTCATTATGGTCCACGGCCCAAGCAGGTGGCTTCTCCGCCCCTACCCCCACCTCTACCTGCAAATCCCTCCCTTGCCCAAGCCCCCCACGCACCCCGCCATGCTTCTCATGGACCCATGGCTCCTGTCCCATTCTTCATCCCTCGACCTGCATGGCTGGCTCCTGGTCCCATTCTTCATCCCTCGACCTGCATGGCTGCCAATGCTGGTCCGAAAAATGGCCCCTCACCCCCAACCCCCCCCACCCCGCACACACCCTCGCCGCCCACGCTTGTCCTGGACCCATGGCTCCTGGCCCCATGGCTCCACCCCCACCCCCAACCCCCACCCCCACCCCATGCCCCCAACCCCACCCCCACGCACCCCGCCCCCCACTGGACCCATGGCTCCTGGCCCCATTGGCTCATGGTCCACGGCCCATGGATGTGGCTTCTTAGCTGACTTGAAAAAATTGAGTGCATGGCCGCCCCCTTTGCCCGCTGCCCGCTCCGCCCTCCGCCCTTCCAGCTCCGCCTACTCCCCCTTGGCCCATGCTCCCACTCTCCATCCCCTCCCCCACCACCCACGCACCCGCCCCCCGCCCATCCGCCCTTCCCGCTCTCCCCTTGCCCAAGCCCCCCACGCACCCCGCCATGCTTCTCATGGACCCATGGCTCCTGGTCCCATTCTTCATCCCTCGACCTGCAGGGCTGCTGGTCCTGGCATACTCCCCCCCTTGCCCAAGCCCCCCACGCACCCCGCCCATGGCTCCTGGTCCCATTCTTCATCCCTCGACCTGGCTGCCAATGCTGGTCCGAAAAATGGCCCCTGCTCCACCCCCCACCCCCAACCCCCACCGCACTGGGGCCTTTAAAGTCAGCTGAGAAGCCACATCCATGGGCCGTGGACCATGAGCCAATGGGGCCAGGAGCCATGGGTCCAGTAAGGGGGGGTGCGTGGGGGGGTGTGGGGGTTGGAAGTGTGGGTGCGTGGGGGTGGGGGTTGGGGGTGGCAGGGTGTGCGCGGGGTGGGTGGGGGTTGGGGGTGGGGTGGA